TACACTGTGATTATATTTCAACACTGAACGGGATCTTATTAAGGTCACTGCATTTTCTGTCTATAATTTGACATGGATTTGATAATGTAGGCTAAGATGATTTTGTCTGTTTGAATCTCTAAATCTCTCTCTAAATAAAAGCCGTATATTTCTCTTCCACACCACAGAGCCATTGAGAATTTTATTGATTTTTTAGTTTTACACAATAATGCATTTTCAGATAAATACATTCTTTTTTGTTCAAATTTAGCACACACTCACAAAACTGCCTTGGTTACAATTTTCTTTTTAACTGATGACGAGTCTTTAAAACAAGCATGTAATGAATTCTGACTGTGAATTTCCTTTTAAGTTCCTATTATCCTGTAGTGACCAGGATCCTATAATTGATATTTCTAACATGCAGCTTTTAATTCAAACACCTATTGGTTGTACTGTGTGTGAATTATGACTGACTTTTTTTGCCTGTAGAAATCTAAATACAGTTCAGAATTATGTAAAAAATTATTTTATCCTTCCTGCATATATATGTCTGTGATAAATAAGCCATTTTTAAGGCCTTTCATAATTTACAGTATCGCACCTATGTTACTTTTTTCTCCGACTACTCTGAGTCAGCATAGTACAGTAATTGATATATGAGAATCATCGCTATATTTTAACTTTGACAGCTCTCATTTGATGTTAAAGAAGCCACTCCTTCCCATTCACAAAAGCCATGTGTCTGAACGATTCGAGAAAAACAATAGGCTAAGGTACGTGACAAACAGAAAAGTTAAAAATCTGAATATTTGGTTTTTTACCACAATTGGCCTTCAACGTCACAAGTCACGTCATTGTAAATCTTACAAACTACATCAAAAGTCAACAATTAACGGATTTGATCCCTTTATAATTTCTACTGGATGTTCTTCAAAACAACTTTTAATACATATATATTTTTCAACACATCCATTTAAACCATCAATGGTGATTCAAATTGCACAAGTAAGGCTCTCAATTGACATAACATTATCTTTAAATATTATATTCAATATATTCCTCATTTTTATTAATTGTAAAAATAGACATCTTAAAATCAGCCAAAAAAAAAATAAATAAATAAATAAATAAACATGACTTGTTCACACAATACAGAGCAAGTGTGGCACTAGAAAGACCCTATAAAAATCCTAATGTATATTTATCACAAGATTTTTCTAAATGTTCCAGATATTGGATATATTCAAGTCAAATTTTCATGGAAAAAAATATGACACATAAATTGTTGGAAGAGTTATTAAATCTCTTTGCTTTTTGAAGCAGCACTGGATATGATAATACAAGTAGCCTGCAGACAGGATCTCCTCACCTGTCCAATGTCATAAATAAAAGTACATCAATATAACACAACACAAACTCTCACTACATAAAGAAGCACAGTGCAGCACATGTACACTATCACTACTGGTGTGCAAGAAAGAAAACAAATGAGACCCACTTCTTCATAAATGGATAGGACAGACCATTTGATATTTTCATTGAATACATGAATTTTAGCATTAAAATAATTTATTATTATAGGTAGACATCATTTTGTTGTCATTTGAAAGTGGAAATCCATATGTTAGTTTCTAAACAAGATTTCAAAAACCTTTTTCAAGAATTTTTTTTTAAAGCCAGTAAGTCAGCAAAGATTTAATTTTTTTTTTTTTTTTAAAAACTAACTTTTATTTTAAGCAAATAAACTAGCTATGATGTCAAACCCTGTTCAACTAGATTACTGCCTATTTAAATGAATTCCTTTTAACAAGATAGGAAGGTCTTGTAAGTTAACTGTGCAACTTTCTGCAAGTCTTTATTAAATCTTTATCATTGTGAACATGTTGAAGGTATGGAAAATACAAGACCAGTCTAATTTTTTTTTTTTTGCACTCAATTTTCAATGATGGATTGCAATTCCTATCTTAAAATAGAGCACTAAAGTGTTATCAATATATATGTTTAATAAAAGGTTCTAATGAGTTGCACTGTGATTCATTATGATTATAAAGCAGTTCTCTTGTTCTAATAGTTGCAAACGCTTATAAAATTATGTTAACCTTTAGTCTATTTATCAATGTTCCAACTGTCTTTACAGAGCACAAGCATCAGTATTATGTTAGATGAGTTGAGTTAGTTTTAGCGCTACCTATTTTTAGTAATTAAAATTGACCTACTTCTGCGATGAGGAGGGGGGGTTGTAGGACTGGGCATGTTGTCCAGGTCAGAACTGACCGCAGGTCCCATTGTACTGGTGTGAATAGCAGAGTCCGAATTTGTTCTGAAAGAGCACAATATAAAACACTGATTAACATACTGTTTCCTTTGGCCTGACAATGGGAGGAGCTGGAGAACAGTGGAATACCAGGGGTACTGGCTGTCCCTAACACACTTGTGTGAAGAGCGGAATCGGAACTGCTTCTGTAATATCAAAGTCAACAGTTATGTTTAAAATCAGTACTAAAGAAATGTAACCTTGTTCTTCATTGTATTTACTTATCTCATTCCTTAACCTAAAGAAAGTCAGGCCTTGAATCATGCTCATAAGAAGGGGTATAATTCTCAATCCACACTCAGAATAATAAAATGTATTTCAAATGTTATAGGATTTCTGGAAACTGAGTGCTAATTATGTTTTAATTAGACATAACCAGTGTACATTTAATTTATTTATATGTCATACATGCTTCCAACAGTATGAATAATACAGAATTTAAAATATTTCTAAGAGATATTTTCTTCAAAGCATAAATGATCAGTCCAACTGAGTATATTGAGACATTCTTTTTCACTGCTGAAATACACAAAACAATTTTTTTTTTGGTTGATATTTGCCAGGCTTTTTATGCAATACTCAGATATTAAAGAATTTAGTAAGAAAATCAGAAGGAATCTTGCATGTTGGAGTTTTCCACACCTGACAATGCCATGTGTATATAACATCACTTTATGAACTGGGATTTGTGATGGAAAATCAATGGCAATAGTTCGAGACCTTGTCTCTTTACTATGTTTGGCAAACTACTGCTAGCCTACATAAATCACACACTCTAAGCACAGCTCTGCAGAACTTTCAGGAAGTTAGAAGCATTGATTTAGAAGTAAAACAGCCTACCAATAGCTCGAAGCTCATCACTGACTGAAGATCACAGCATCATGTACATTGTGAAAAGAGAGCAATATCTATCTATTCAGGATGAAAATTGAAATATTATAATCACCTGATGAATCTGAAATTGAGTTTTTATCCCCAATTTGAATGGAACAAATGTTATAATTATCACCTGATATCATGCAAAATTATAGCTACTAAAACAACTTAATGGAAATTAGCTAGTCAGCTATCAATTACCCACCAAACACAATGAACATCCTACTTCTTAACTGACCAAACTTAATTCACGAATCCTAAGTTTCAACTTTTCATCATTATAAGCAATGTATCACACCAACTGTATAAAGCTAATTTTACTGCTCAATAATAGGTTATGATATTAGCAGTCTCTGAAGAATAGCATCATATCTTGCAATCGGTCAAATGTTTCAACATAAAAATGACCCAATCTGATATTAAACAATTGATTCAACTACTTAAAATGAACCTTGTACAACTGACAGAGATATACACCAACCTCCCATCCAATTCTACCTTGACCTCTAACTGCATATGCCCAATGTCTAAAATTTGCTTTATTAGAGTTTAAATTAAATTGGCTCTTGGGCTGATATGGGGCCACTCGGGCTGATATGACATATGATATGGATTTAAGTATGTAATATTCTCTATATATACAGTATATACAAGTATTAGGAATGGGTATTGCCAAAAAATTCTGTATCCTGATATATCACAATTTTTCCCAAAATATCTAATATCATGATATTTTTACACATAATTTTACCACGATTTTAAATAAATTTCAATATTTTTTCTAACAAACACAGAGTGAGACATAACTTTACTTTTTTCCATTTTATTTCTAAAGCATGTTCTGATGGTAAAATGCTGTTATTTAACTGTTTTACAACATTTTTTACAATTCCTTACATGTGATTGTAATCCAGACTTTGAAAAAAAATTATTTCCAGAATTTATAATTACATACTAAATACTGGTATTTTAGTTTCTGTATCAAAATATACTTATTGTGCAATTAAAATCATGATATACTGGTATGCTGATAAAATTACACATTCCTAACATATTTATACGTGTAATCATGACACATCAAAATACTGACCGATTTCTGACTTCCTGTCCTGAACTACTAACCTCCAACCTTATTCTGACTTCCTACTCTATATTAACCTCCAATTTGACCTTCTGACATCTTACCCAGAGCTATTAACCTCTAACCTTGACCTTCTGACCTCCTACCCAGAGCTATTAACCTCCAACTTGACCTTCTGACATCTTTCCCAGAGCTATTAACCTCCAACCCTGAACTGTTGTATTCTTATGAAGAATTATCCCCATCCTACACAATAAGCTAGCTGATGAATTATGTTTACCTATAAGCTATTATAGTAATTACTTGATTCTGAAGGTTTGTATGTTTATTTAATTGTCACAAAACTTTTCATTTGTGTGGGAGCAGTAAAGAAATAATAAGAGGCAGTCTAAACAAAAGGAGATGTGGCCATTATCATTAACTAATTATCTTATGTCTACACATCTACACCTACGAAATGATTCTTTTTACCAGCAGTTATTTTGCATTTTTCATTTTTTGCAAGCTGACTTAGCTGAGGTATGTTTTACCCATCACATTCAGTAAATATTTACAACTTCTATGTAGTCAATAAAATGTTGCATAAGCAAGTCAAAGGAATTATGATATCAAAAAGCAAAAAGAACTTTTTTGTTACACCTTCTTATATGATATAATTAATTCACATTGACTTGAACAACAATAAAAAAAAATTCTGACACCATTTTAACATTTGAAATTTAAATAGAGTCTGATCACTCTAAATATATATATTTAATGTGTCTAACTTAATTTTTATTCATTTCTGAATATTTATTATTATCTGGGAGACATCGCAACACCAAAATATGTTCCTAGATAGAGAATGTAGAACATGTACAAAATACACCTTTCTGTTACAATTTTTTCATTCAAATAATATTGACAATGAATTTACCAGTGTAAGGAAAAGAGAAGCAATGTCTGCTGGTTTTTGCTTTTTTTTCACAGCAGGCTGTATTGAAAAAAAGGTGTCAGAAAAATAATGGCTTGTGTGATGAATTTTATGAACATTATCAACAAATTGTAAAGAAAAGAGGGATCAAAACAGATTCTTAATCTGACTAGCATCTGCTTTCATTTATATTATCCATATCATTTTGATTTCTGTGTATATGAAAAATCACAAAACAAGCTTAAAAGTGTCACCTTTTTTTACCTTAACAAAGGGTATAGTTATCAGACTTGAATACTTTTAATTAAAGAATTCTAATTAAACATGGACACTCATTTTAACACACAAATATTTACATACAAAGGAATAAAAATCCAATATCAAATGAAAGTAGTTTTCATAATACATGTATTATTAAAGACATTTGTGAATATTCTCTTATAAAGAAATCATCTGTCTTCTATCTCTCTGACATTCTTATCAAGCTTAGAAAATTGAACCTGGAGTTTTTTTTTTGGTTTTTTTTCTTAAACTGTTTGCCACAAATTTTAAGATGATTATATCAGAAGAGATTTTTATATATTGATACATAAAGCAAACATTCAAGTAACAACATTCCAAATGCATCAGAAATGTCAGTATTCACATTTTATATATGTCTTCTGGCACCTTGTTGCTTCTAGATGAAATTAGCGACACAAAATGAAGTCACGTAAACACCCTGACAACCCACTTTGACAGTTTCCTTGGCCAACACCACATGCATGAAAACATGACATAGATTTCTGCAATCAATTACATAATTTCCATATCCCTTTTATAAGCACTGACAATGTCCTACATGCCATCATTTTTCCCTGATATAACTACTTCAAGTATAAGGTGGATTTAACAAGAATCCCCCCCCCCCCCCCCCACATACACACAGTCTCCATGTTAGAGTGCAGTTTTGCAAACATGAAAATACAAACTATCAGATACATTAACTGGGGCTAGGCTACAAGATAGTATATTTACATAAATAAGCTATGAGCATTGATAATTTCATTCTTGATAGCACCGAGAAGCAAAAAGCAAGAATTTTCTTAACACAAAGGTCAGGGCTCTACATTAACGTTTTTTTTTTCTTACTTGTCCATACTGACAAGTGACTATGAATTAATTTTACTTGTCCTTTCATAATTTTTACTTGTCCAAAATTTTCAATAAAGAACTATTTGACAACTTGAAAAAATATTGCAAATCAAAATAGGGTCTATAATATGTTTAACGGATTTTTGACACATATAGCAAATAATGATACTAAGTCTCATCTTTTCCTACATAAGTGGTTAATGCTTAATTAGATATAATAGAAAGATGCCAAGTACAAGAAATATGTTCAACATCAAACGTTTGATTTTTTTCTCCACTATTGTCTTTCCTTGTTAAAATATCCTACCCAATACTGAAAACCCACCTTCATCAGATCCATGCAACTAATTGAAGTTCAAAATTAAAAAAAGAAAATGCCTTGATCAAGTTTGATGGCCAGGATCAAAATTCATTATTAATGAACGGTATCAAGTTAGCTATTAACCACAGATGCCTATGATTTGAATTTTCAATAAAAGTTGGCAACAGGGTTTAGTTCTTTTTCATTTTCAACTTAAAAAATATTCTTTACAAAAAATTACCAATTTGATGGACAAGTGCCCAGCAATTTTCACTGGTACCGAACAAGAGGACAAACATTAATGTCGAGCCCTGACCTGAAGGTAGACTTAAAGACAACTATTATAATTTTTTATCAAAGATCTATTGAATTTTACTCCTTGAACAAAAATAAGAAATGCATACTAAAATGCAAGTATAATTCGTTCTTAAAAATTAATGAACCAATGGTGACTATAGCCTTTCCCACATGTTTGATCATTTAGTAGGGCTCTGAAATATAGTGGGATAAAAACAGCAACTGTATGATAGCCTTCACACACGTGTACACATAGGGAAAATGTCCACTCAACTGCATAGCTCAAACAATTAGTTTTATTTGGAAATTATAAATAAAATTGAATGGAACACTTAAATTTCTACCTTTTTCATCAAACATTATAACAAACCAGACAAAATGATAATGTCACTTTCAAAATGAGAAGCGAAGTGTACGGTACAGTTAGTAATCCATGCAAAGGGGGTAACTAGAGTATGCCAAAGACAAGGCAAGGGTAACTCACCGTGGTAAATCGTGGTTTCGAATCATTTGAGTCCTGAAATTGGTAGGGTGGTCAAGAAAACAAATCAAAGAGCAAAATTCAAAATGGAGGACAAAATCAAAAGAAGCAAGTTTCGAATAAAAAAGAAACACACAAATCAAAAATAATCACACTATAATTACAATCTGAAACAAAATGTCTCTCGGAAAACAAATAGAAAATTTAATTCAAAACAGCGATGTCTTTTATTTTTTTCCTAATAAAAAAAAATAATAAAAAAAAGCCTTTAGGGCAATCTTTAAAAAAAAATATTTGTTTGCCCTCTTACAACTTAAGATAACAAAAAATTAATTAGTAAGTTGGAAGAGGGAAAAAATTCATAACATTACATATACGTATTGAAAGTCCGCCATAATTTGAAGAAAGTGAAAATGAAACTTGGTTATTGGGTAACTCTTACGTAAAGTATTCCTGAAAGTGAAAGATTTTTAGAACAACCTAATCATTATCTATTCCTGAAAGTGAAAGTTACCTATAAAATTTGTTCTCCTTGTGTATTCTCTAATTTCTCGGTGGAAAAATAATCATTTAGCATAATTTGGATGGATTAACTTAATAAAGGAAAGTTAGACAATCTTTTATTGGTTCTCTGAATTTATTTTATTTTTTTTCAAAAGATTTCTTGAAGTTAAAATATGACATTAAATATTATAATGAGAATACCAAAATAACCGCCCCTTTTCGCAATTTTCTAAGCACCCAGGGTGGTTCATAGAGATTTTATGGTACTTGTCTATTCTGACCCTTGTCTGTTATTTGTGTTTATACTGTACATACTTGTATATATATATATATATATATATATATATATATATATATATATATATATATATATGTACCTCTTGCACCAGTGATCTGGTGTTGAGTGAATAAGGATTTGACTCATTTATTCAGTCAGTCAGTCAGGGGAGGGCAAGCACACAATTTTATAAAGATGGACTAGTCTACTCAAAGAAATGTTAAGATGAAAGAATACTGTGAATTTTTAATATGCAATGCAAAATATAAGTTAGGTTCATTTTCTTTTCTGCACCTAGTTGTCTCAAAAATATTCATAGGCAACTGGGCTGATGATCTATAAGCATGTAACAAACACAAAAAAGCTCTGTTGTCACAAACTCTATTGACTTTTTAAATGCACGGTTTTACAGTATCTAACTTTAGAAATAACTAGTTAAAATTGTAATCAAGATTATTTCGTTCATTTCTTAATTTTTTTCTCCCGATTTGGAAGTCGAATTTGTGTTCAAAGAACTTTATCTTTTATTAACACTGTACTGTCAATTTTCGGAATAAAAATACCAAACACACAGCTGATTGCACAAGGGTGTTTGAATAAAAGAATGAGGTCATATACTTTCCAATTTATTGCTCCTTAAAACTTATATAAAAGCCTATGACACCCCCCTCCCCCTACCCCCCAAAAAAGGAGCACTGAGCTCAAAAAATGATACACCCTGCTACAATATGAGTCTAATGACAAAATCCTGTTTTGCTATGGGAAAGCCCAAATATCCTTCCAATCAAAACATGAAAAAGAGATGCACAATGGCATTATATCGTAATGTCTGTGATAGTCTCATTAAATTTTAGTCAGTGGTATAGCAGGAATTGTTTAGAGATGGGTACCCCCAATATTATAGAGAGAATGGGAAGTGCCCCCACTTTTCAAGTTGAGGTGGGGGGATGTTATAAGCATATCAAATTTTTTGCAAACTATTTGATTAATTAATCATAATAATTAATATTTATAAAACTTCACTTAAGGTTTACTAAATAAATATTTTACAATACAAAAAAAAAAATATTTACTCAAATAATTAAAAAAAAAAATAATGATAGATGGAAATACATTTCATGTGGAATTATACTTCAATGATATTTATTCACAATTCTGCAATATGTGTATAATCTAAATCAGTAATCATTCTTTGTGAGAGGGATGAAAACTTATCAGGGTAAATATAAACATATAAAAAATATGTATATGTGTATTTTTTATGCGTTTGAAGGATAACAAAATGGAAAAATGGATAGAATTTGATAATATGAAAGCACAACAAAGTCAAATTTCCACCAAAAAAATATAAGTTTTTGAATAAAATTTAGAAAAAAAGTTAAAGGATGAGAACTATTAGGGTCAGATATGTAACAGTATACAAACAAACACATATCTTATCTTGTTAAGCTTCAAAGTCCACCACAATGTAAGAAAGACAAACAGGGTTCAAAACACTACATCTATCAGGGAATAGGCAAATTGTTTACAAATTTCAAAATGGGAGAACATACACAAAGAACCTTACCTCTTCCATATTGTATCAGGAGGAGGTGAAAGGTACGCTGCACCATATGGGGAGCAGTCATTCTATGAACAAAAAAAAAACAGAAGAAATTTCATACAATAAAGTCATAATAAAAGAACTATAGTAATGATTGTGTTTAACTTCAGGTATAATCTTGAATAAAACTGATCAAATAAAAGGACTATATTCGGTAATGACCAATATTTGCCCCCAAAATCAAACTTGGAAGGAGAAATATATAATTATGTTCTAAAGCAGCGGGATATCTGCTGACTTCAAAGCACTGAATATTTTCATAAGCCATGACACCATATGTTAGATATGACGTCAGGAAAATGACGTAAATTCAAAAATTCCATGATTTATACAGGAAAACGTGTATATTACATTGATATTTTGAGTAAAAGTCACCGAGCGCAGGTCTGCTCCAACTCAATATTTTGATATAATGTGTAGAATGATAATATCAATGAAATATATAAATATTGTTCTGGAGCAGGCCTACGCTCTATAAATTTCATAGTAAAAATTGACTATTTTTGTCCATTTTTTCCTCTTTCTGAAAAATAACACAAAATCCGAATAGTTTGTGATGTCATAGAAACAAAGTTGCCAATAACCTACTTTGAAACTATAATTTTTTTTTTAATTTAGATTTCTCATACAATATATACAATTCAGCACATTTCAAGAAATTTTTCAAAATACCACTTTTGTTGGGGCAAAAATATGCATATACTGCATATAGTTCTTTCACATTAAATTCAAGAAGTTGATTCTGCTTCTGCCTATAGATGCTTGCATTATATTAGTCTTATAAAATTGACAAAATACTTAACATGCTCATTAACACATATAATGCATGTGTGTAATGAATTTGACAATTTCACTTATTTCACCTTTCATTTCTGAGAAAAATATTCTACAAAATGGAGTGGACAGTTAAAGAAGACTTATTAAAAGAAAGTTCAATGTATTCGAATTTTAAAAATAAAAAAAAAAATAAGCTCAGGTCTACAAACATTACTCAAGTTTTACAAATAAAATAACCCAGTTAATTTAAATGAACACAGTTCGGCTGCACCCAATATTTGTATATTCATTTCATACAGCATCTTTTGCTTTCATTTAAAAAATTGCTTGAAATTTCATATTTATGCACTGAAGTTAAAGTTCAGAAAAATATTAAACACGCAAGTTTTTAGGGAAACTTACTCATTAATAGCTTTTCTGATTTCTGGAAGACCTGAGTTTCATTAAATAATTTATTGTTGAATTCTTGAGATCATCTCTTAAAGAGAGACTAGAAATGACATTCATTGACAGCATTATTATGACTCCACGAATCAGACTTGAAAGTTTTGCGATAAATTTATCAGTAAGGCTTTTCTTCTTATGTTGCAATGATAAGTATATTGATGTAATATATATATGTTTGACTGTTTTTGTTTAGGTAAGAATATGGTAAAATGATGCTAATAACATTTCAAGAAAATTTTCATCATCAAGTTCAACATGTACATCCAGATATTATGCAATGTATAAAAGCAAGTTTTAACCTTTCATTTCCTGAAAACACATTCATATCATCAGACCTAAAAAGGACTATACATAACACTACTGTGACAAATAGGTAAATGCTGACAAATGTCAACACTTTTGTGTTGCATCAGACCTATTATGGTTTGTATTTCTAGACACTCACAGAAAAATTATCAATTATTTTATGGATAAATATTAGGGCTGTCACGAGTACCCGAAATAACCGAGAACCGCGGTCCAAGTTGTTCGGTTCGGTTCCGGTTCCATTTTTCCGGATTTCGGTTCGGGTCTGGTTTATATATTAGAGTCTGTTCAATACAAAAAATGGCGTCGAAATCAAAGGAATGATGACGATAACAGTGATGAATAAACATCACAACTGAAATCTACTTCATTCCATGACAAAACACTTGTCACGGAAGTATTAGATAATTATCAAAACGAGCAGGAATGGTCAGGTTGTGGCTAATAGTAGGCCAAGTCACCGATGTCTAGACGTTCGCATGTTTAAGACTTGTTTTCAATGTAAATTTAATGTAACAAATAAAGATTTTTCAAGTTAAATTCATGAAATTAAGGTTTAAAATAGATGTAAATACCCGACCCAAAAAACCCGAAACCGAACCGAAAATTTACAGAACCGACCCGACCCGAAAAATTTTGGAACCGTGACAGCCCTAATAAATATGCAATACCTGCATACAGGAACATGGGTGATTAATGGGAATATATTGATGTTGTGTCCAATATTTTTCTACTCTCTTCTTAGATAATTTTACTTTTAAAATAAGAGTGTCTAAGTGTTACAAAGCCTGGGTCAATAAATCTGTGCCAAACTTTAAACTTCGGATGAAGTGTCATTGTTCAAAACTGCCAGGTTTACCAAATCAAAAATTTTACTGTATTATGAAAATGTATATATTCCTAATATTGAAATGTTTCATAACTGTATTTATTTTCATGACTCCAATAACAAAATCAGGTTGTAATATTGGTATAATGAATATGTTTGTTATGTTTATACCCTTTGTTTATCCATGGGAAAAGCTCTTCTGTGTGGCCCGAGTTGTCTGCCCCTGTCACGAACATTGTGTATTCGCCCGTCCACTCTGTTATGTATTGGCCCGCTAGCTCGAATGCTCTCAAAATCCCTCAGAGCAGTCTGCAAAATATCACGTAAAAATCCATAAAATACATTTAAAACCCGAAAAGAACATCATCCTGCGATCAATAGAACAACATATTACATTTGATCCGCCATGTTTTGAAATAAATGTACGTACTGGAAGATCAATGGGAGAATTTGTGGCCATCTGATTGACATTGGGCAGCGATCCGGCGCGATACTGTGTCCCAATATTTTGATGCAACTGTAGGTGCTGCTGTGGAGGGTAGCTCTTCTGTGAAGTACACTGAAATAACGAAAACGTTGTCAAGTATCGTGCAAATGACAATCTGCTTTACCCCGCTTCGTTCGTTTCCAGCTAACTTTACGATAAAAAATCGGTCAAGTGTGCCTTACCTTGGTTGCAAACGATACATCTCTCAGAATGGCTTCAAATGCTGCTGTTTCTTCGGCCTGTTTCTGATTATGAAGTGCTATTTTCTCGCTAAATTTACGCGGATTCGACATCATGGCAGAAACGACAGGCTTGTTATGATTTTGACATCGCAGGGGGTCCGTCCTATTATTATCCAATCAAAACTTTGAATAGGGCCATGTGATCACCGATAGATGTCAGCGTAATCGGGCACTGCTCCTCTCTACAATAACTGTAAAATGGATTTCCGAATACAAAATAAGTGATAACCGGTTTAAATAAAGATTTATACTTGGTATTATTGTGGTCAAAATATAGATATTGTGAACATGATTAATCTATTTCAATATCTGGGTATAATACTTATTTAAGGAGTGTGGTGTGTTATATATGCTATGCATCTGAAGTTTTGCGTAAGGGACCTGAAGTACATGTGTTTCATATTGTAGGTATGGTTTACTGAGTGTGAGCAGTGGCGTAGGTACCATATGCATACTTGTATGCCAAAGCTTCCAAATTATTTCTTTTCTTTCAAAAAATAAAATAATTAATGATAAATACAAAAATTCGTTGAAGAAAGAACGTTTTTTAAAATATTTGTTTCATTATTAAATTCAAAGCCTTTAAGGTAAATTGTTTTGCATGTATTATCTCACACATGTTACACTGCGTAATATATTGAATGAAATATGGAGATAACAAACAGTATATGCAAGCTCAAAAGTCCATTCAACTAAACAAAATATTAAGGAACACAGCAAACACGGACCTCTAAATCATTAGAGGTGGGATCAGGTGCCATGAAGGAGTGAACATCCCCTGCCGACTGGTCACACCCGCCATGTGCTCTTTGTCATGATCGGGAAAAGTCCGTAAAAAAATAAATACATATATGAGTATAATAATTATATATAAGTAAATAATGATGTAACAATTAGTATGAAAAACGTCAGTCAGCATTTGACTTAACGATATAGATTGTATTTGCTGATAAGGTCATTGTACTTTAAAAAATGATGACTTTAAATGAGACTGCTGATATTCTTGTTTAATCGACTTGTTTGTTGATATAGCTTGCCTCGTTTTTGAAATTTTTCGTACGTAGAGCATGATCTTTCGTATATTGAATCAACCGTGAGGCATAAACTCCTTATGTATGAAGGGTAATCGTGTTCAAAAATCCAGGCATGTAAATTCACAATTTGTTAGATCGAAAATTGTTTATCTTGTTTGACATGTTCACGTTCATGAGTCCGTATTTTACACATTCAAAATGGCATATGACAAAAAAAATCTACTATAGTGTCAAGTTATCATGGTTTTTTTCTCTCGAAATTTTATATACATCACCATACATGGAAAATCACGGAAACTTACGATTGATAGGCGGTAAATCTAGTACCTGTAGCTGAAAATTTCGGTCTATTTTTTTAAGATTTCTTCCTAAATACTATTGAGGCACATATTTCTCTTTTTCCGGATATGACATTTTTCTTCACTTTAAATGAACTGTATCTACAGGTTTTTAAAATTTAAAAAAAAAAGAAGCTTATATTTAGTTCATGCATTTGTAAGCATACAAAGAAATAAATCTAAACGAGCAGTGAATAATGAACATGAAACTGTTAAAAATAATCAAATCCTGGAATTTGCCAGTGTTCGACCTTATAACATCAAAAAGTGGGGGGGGGGGGACCAGCATCTAAATGATGAAAATTTACTATAGCAAAATACTATACACAGAAAAAAAAGTGAGGGGACTGCCCCCTCCCCGCGTTCTATGGGCCTGTATATCGAGTCGACACATAAATGATAGTAACTATTGGTATAAGTCAAAGATTGGTTTAGAAACATGTGTTAAAAAAGTACTATTAACCTTCCGCGTGCTTAAACCACGCCCTCCTGGTAACATTACCTAACAACGGTTGAAAATGCATGACAACGGGTAACAGTATATAAAAATTGTTCACTGCGCAGACGTTTCACCGTGACAGTTTCTTTTAAATGCATTCTAAAAGATATTCAGAATAATAAAAAAGAATATTACATGTTTATCTAGGGTAATATTGTTTCCCCTAGCTGAAAACCACTGCTGTTTTCGCGGAATAACAATTTAACATATTACCCTAAAAAATGTAATATCTTTATATTGTTAATTGATAAACGGCGTCGATATACATGTATCTAAATACTGATTGAAGGCAACGTACAGCAAGTGTTTTCTTCTTTTCTTGTAAAAGTTCTTGAAAAGGAATGTAAAAACAGGTCGGTTAATTATAGGTAGCACAGTTAGTTTCCATTAGAATACCAACAGATTGCTGGAAGACCTGCAGAAGGCATGCTATCGAAAGTGTCATAAGAATAGTCCTAAGATATGACTTAAGAGATATCTTAAGACAAAACTTAGGATGGTCCTAAGAGAGTTCTTAAGATCGACATAGAAGCTCTCTTAGGAATGTACTAACTAGGATAGACTTACGAGATTCTTTAGACAAATCTTAAATATTGTAACATCACAGATTATGTTTATAATAATTATAGTTATATAATAAAATTAAAAAAATAATTATTGGGACTTACAATTTTTTTAATAACTTGTAAAAAATTGAATTAGATAGAAGTAGTCATAGAACAATTGTCTACTTCTAAAAACGCTTTCTTATTTAAATTAATAAATTTATTAAAGGGACAACTCTCTCTATCTCTCTCTCTAAATAAATAAATAAATAATGAAGAAAATATGAAAATATACATTTTGAAAGAGTTTAAAAGATAAGTTTGTAAAAATTCTCATTTCAATATTAATACTTGCAAAGCAAATTAGATAAATAAATTTTATATAATTAACAAACTAAGAAATAAACCCGTCGGATATTAACTTAGCTTGGGTGAGCAATGTAGCGGACAGAGTCTAGACAGGGAAATACTGCCTCTATACCCCGTCAAAAGCTATCTTACTATCTTACTAGTAAGATAGCTTTTGACGCGGTATAGAACCTCCTCCATTTCATATAAGGTACAGCGAGCATGAATAGCCCTTGGTGGTGACCTCTTCAAGTTACTGTGTCCCGCTATATCCCGTGCTGGTTAGTGCTATTCTCATTCATTCGTGATCTTCGACTGAATAATAACTAGTACAGCTTTAGTATAGCTTTAGGTTTTAACGCATTTTAAGAACCATCAAAGCAATCCCAACTTTTTCGAAGTATAACTTAAATAATTTTGGAATTGTGACCACTAACTCCAAATTTAAATCAAGTCAATTTAATTTCTTAATTGCTAAGAAGAAATATCATAATAGTACGGCAAATTACTATTGGACAATTATTTATACATAGGTAGGAACGAAGCACTCGGTGTTTTTCAAAGTTGGAGGGAAGGGGGTGGGCAGAGTAACAGATTGTAACTAAAATGTACAACCGTATAATAAACGTACAAACAAAAAAAAGAAAAAGTTCCTGATTAACTCTGAGAGGCACAAAAAAAGGAAAACCTCTAAACTCGATATATTTATTGGGGGGGGGGGGTAGAAGAAACTTTTTTGTAAAAGTTTTTTTTGGGGGGGGGAGTAATAGGAAGATCCGCATTGCCCCCCCCCTCCCCCAATACTACATGTCTGATAAGAAATGAACGATTGCACAAAGTTTGGAGTCTCCAAAGTTCATGTTAGGACGGGTCTTGCAATGTCTTAACTTTAGGAGAAATTCTAAGACATGTCTTAAGTTAGGACAGATTCAATGGCCTCACTTAGGACTAAGATATCTCTTAAGATATGTCTTAGTCCTAAGATGGCTTCGATAGCATGCCTGCAGAAACTCAAGTATTTTTTAATATGAACTTCGGAGTATTTTGTTTAAAATCAGAATGTTAAATTTTTGACAAAATATAAGTGAGTCGGTATAGAAAACAGCAACTATATATACTTGTGTCCCCTCAATAATAACGTCTGATGACCTTTTATATTTTTGGTACTGTCCCACCAGACTGAAAATATTTGCCCCCCCCCCCCCTTCCAAACTGAAGTCGGAGTAAGTCAGTCAGTTAGAAATTAATAATAATAATAAAAAAAACAATGTGATATTATATAAAGCAAAAAAAAAAAAATCATATTTTTTCTTCCAATATATCGTGATTTTATTTCACTTGCAACCATGCTTAATGTGCTCATGTGTGTACAGGTTATATATGTCAGAGGTTTAGTGCAAGTTGTGTGTGTGTGTGTGTGTGTGTGTGTGTGTGTGTGTGTGTGTGTGTGTGTTTTCTTCATGTAAATTTGGTTTGTTTGATTTTTTCTCAGTATAACTTTTTGTTCAAGTTTCTTGATATGATCCTGGGTAATTCGAAGTCTTTAAAACGATCTCATAAATAGTTCGAAGCATTTGCTTCCAAGGACAAAAATTTATTTATTTTTTTTTTTTTTATATATAGAAATATAATTTCCCTTTTATATGTCCTATTTAGTTACCAATGCTTATTTTTAAAAACCAGGAAAAGAAAATGGAAGTGATCTGTGCATAGTGATTGAAGTCCTGGCTGAAGCCCCTTTTTCAAATATTACATGGCCGTAGGGGGGGGGGGGGCGTGCCCCCAATAATTTTTCCGATATATAGATTACTATAGTAAACATAGATACTATATGCTTGTGCTCCCTCAATAAAAACGTCTGATGACCTTTTTTTTTTTTTTAATAATTTTTTTTTTGCTTGTCAGGAATTTTTTTGGTAGTGCCCCCTCAACTGTCAATTGAAAAATGTATGGCTGTGCCCCCCCCCCCCCCCCCAAAAACTGAAATTGCTTCCTATAGGACTGTATTAAATTTCAGAAAATAACAAGTAACTAAGGTAATGACACTCGACACATAAGAAGATTATAAGAGGGTGGGGTTTCGACACCCCCCACCCCCACCCCCCGGGATTTTTTTTTTTTTTTTTTTTTTTTTTTACAATTATTCAAATTTATATAGTAAAATATTTTTAAAAAAGGAAGGGAGGGAGAGAGGGTGAGAAAAAGATTTTCTTTTGTGGAAATGAACCTCCCAATCCCTTTGAAAATTTTTGGATCCGCCTTTTAATTTGACCAATCTTTTAACCACCGCCACTTTTTTTCTCTCCCCCCCCCCCCCCTATAATATATATATGGACAACTTCTCTCGGAATCTAAGAATTCGGAATGCACAATTCCGTTTTCGACTTACAATGCTACTCAAGGGTCACGTGGTAGACGCCATTTCACATTATTGAAAGCATTTTACTTTTAGAGAAACAGTTGTTTTGATTTTTGTATAAAAGCAATGTCAGATCAAGAACAGAACAGTATGGGGTAAGAAATAAAAGCCTTTTATATTTCCCCGTGCCGCTATTTTGGCAGTTTCATGACGCTATCTATTCGAACTGCTAATCTTAAACAAGGGATGTAAGGTTTTACGTTCACAAAACATGCAGAAAGCGGATGTTTAAATAGCCATTTTTGGCATTAAATTATGTAGTTTGACAGCCAAAAGACTAAGTTTTGAGACCTGTACTTGGAATAATGGTAGCTCTCTAATATTTTAAAAATACTTACGGAATATTATTCGATATATTGATATTCTGTAATTTTGCAGAATCCAGAGTGGGGTTGAAATTTTCCTGGAAATCCCACTAGACCAGGGGCTACTGATCAGTAAAAATTTACTAGCCCAAACCTCAGACTAACTAGCCCAACAATTTTTTTCATGCAAAATGAAAACGTAACAAGTTAAAGCTTCAAATGCTTTGGTGACAGAAACAAAATAATTCTCAGGCAAAAGAAACCAGTCTACATAGAAAAGAGAAAGTGAACTGACGAGAATTTTTTTTCCATTCTGCTAGTCCGACGGACTATCGTTACAATTGAATTAGCTAGCCCGAGTCTTAAAATGACTAGCCCTGGGCATCGGGCTACCGTATGTTTCAACCCCTGGAATCACAAGGGCTTACTCCGGAATAGTTAGAACTTCAACATTGTTTTCAATTTATTTTTCTGTATTGAACTATTCTACGAATCTGGGATGTTTCGCGCCGATTCTGTTTCGCACTGAGATGGTTCGCGCCAGGATGATTCGTGCCAATTTGGGTGCGAAACATCTCACGTTTTATTTTAATATTTCATCACATTTTCATCCGTTTTAAATTTTTTATTAAATATGATATAAATATTTTGTGTGCTCAAATTCTTGACTTAATAACATGCACTGCTATAGTTAACGGATCATACGGTGCCCGTTTGCTCAGTGTGTCTGTTCAACAATTCAACAGTGTTTCAATGAGGATTTAATTGTAATAAGTTGGAGATCAAAAGGTGAGAATTTAAGTTGATGTGTGGGTTGTCCAAGCCAACAATAATTGGGAAGTTTCTAGTATGCCGGTCCCCAGAATCACGCGATTGCGCATGAGCAGTTATTTCCCTTGCCGTTGCTATGCAGAATGTAAACAAACCGCCATTTTCCCCTCGCTTCAACAAAACGCATTCGATCGAGTGATTAGGGTTAGGGTATATTGTTTTAAGATTGGAACTGTTTTATAAATCCACTCTTTAATCTTCCTGACTTCGGGCTAATTCATGTAATTTTTGCTTACAAAAGGCACTGCCAAGTGCCTTTTGTGACCAAAAACTTGCATGAATCAGCCTAATGTCGAACCGTGCCGATATACCATCTTATAGGAGTAAAGCATGAAACATGCAAAACTTAAACAAACCGTTAATTAAATATGGCACTGTATGCGACCTACGGATTAGGGTTAGAATATAAATAGCTCGGATATTGTAACTGTTTTACATTCACCCATGCTCGCATCTATATCACTTTGGGCTTATTGAAGTTATTAATACAATTTTTGCTTACAAAGAACCGGAAGAACAGGAAAGTTTTTTGCGAAACTTGGATGAATTAGCCTTGGTCTAATGTTGAAACGTGCCCGATATTGTGCGCTAAGTTTTGGCAAGTAATTGGTAAAAGCGACTTACCGTTTACTTAGCTCGATATCCTAACCTCCTAATGTCCATATTCAGAATATTTTTTCTTTCAAATCAATGGTGATGCACAATTCAATCAACCAATTACTAGTAATTAGTTATCACTTGTTAAATCCCTGCATTTCTCACAAAAATCTTGCAATTTTAGTAGCATTTCACTTTGAGTCCTATCAACTACTTCTTCATAAGTCTTCATTACGTCAAAACACAAGTGACGCACGTCATGAATATTTATGAGATTACGTCAAAAGCTGATCATGTGACCACATTCCTAAACAACGCAAAATGGAGTTTTATCTACTAAACAAGTACGTTATTTTACAAAACCTTTTAATTCTCATTTAAAAAACTGTGTTTAAAAACCAGTTTTTTAAACCCAATTTTTCACAAGGAACACGATTTTTGGCTCAATTTTGCGATTTGTGGCCTTTTTTATCGATTTTGTCGATCGCTCACGCGATCGTATTATATTGTACACCGCCTTCGGCGGCACCTATTTTAGCGCCATATTTATAGGGACCGGTATACTAGAAGTGTTCCCAATAATTACTTAATTAGATGGCGGTATTATATTTATCTACTTATACGTAATTATCACGGTGTTATAATAATTCATAATTATGCTATGTATGTATACTTCAAACACAGACATAAATAATTTGCTTCAAATATAATCTTCTTAAATTAAAAAAAAAAATGTTCCAAAAATATCTATATTTACATATATTTAGAATCTTAAATTTTGTTAAATGATCTAAAACTCAGCACATTTATGTACTTGGAGTGAAACATCATGGGGCGAACCATCTCAGCGCGAAACAGAATGGGCGCGAAACATCGTGGGGCGAACCATGCATAGGTGCGAAACATCCCGTTACCTATTCCACTGACTCGCTAGATGGAATATTTTATCATTAAAATGATATTGTCCAGCGAACCCGGTTTAACGATAGAATTCAATCCCTGTATTGGCAATGTAGCAAAGAAAACACGGGAGATATCTCTGAGTGCATTTCTTATAAACAATCCAGAGAGTTCCGAGTGTCAACATGGCATTTAAATTCAAAGCGAGAAAAAACGTTGAGAAAATGAATTGAATTTCCATCTTTATATGGATTATTTTATAAGTTAAAAGGCATATACAGTCGAAAAGGTTTGTTTTGATTAATTTGGCAGTTATTTTCAGGGCAACTCCTTTCGTATTTTTCAAAATCATTTTGAAGCAGATCTGCGACGACTTGCTTCATTGCATCTATATGGGATGTATTAAACAATGGTGAGGACTTGTCGCGAGACACAGCTTAATAGATAATTCTAACTACTAACTCACCACCTCAAATCTTTATGTTTAGACTAATTAGAGATGTTTAGAGATATTGAGGCACTAGTGCGCTTCATGAAATATGCCTGCGTGACAAGTCTGTGTAATTTACACACCAATAACCCACACAAAACTAAAAAATATTCCTTAATTTTTTAAGAAAAAAAGATACATTACTTTTATAGACGATGTAGTTGACAGTTGTTACTTCTCTTGTTGCTGTAAACGTGGTGAAGATGCAAAAATAACTACAGTCAAACCTAGTTATCTCAAACTCAATGGGATCGAGGAAAAACTTCGAGATATCCGAGGATTCAAGATATCCAGGGTTAAATACTGAAAGAATAAGGGGATTGGACTTTCAAATCCCTTTGACATATCCATGGTATTCGAGATATCAGTGTTCAAATACCAAAGTTCAACTGTACATGTACGTAATTAGGATATGCCTATATGAGCAGGGTTGGCAAAAAACCGGGAAATACTCATATTTCCCAGGAGGGTGGGAAATACTGGTAATTACCGGGAATTACTGATATTTCCCGGGAAATACTGGGAAAAAAGAAATACCTTGTATTTCATAATTTTAATATATTTGTGGGGGTATTGACATGTAGAACACCTTATTGGCTAAGATATCTACCTGGTATCACTGTCTCTGATTTGAAAATTTCTGGTGTCCAAGTAATTCTTAACACAGTATATTCATATACTGATCATGAGTGTCATTTGTTTTATTTGTTTCATGTTTGAGTCAGATGTAATCAGTCTATAAACTTCCATTTAATGAACCCAAAGATCCCTATTAGGTTTTTATGTAACCAAAGAAGGTTCTAAGAACATTGTTAAATGTAGAGTGTGGTGTAAATATCAAACCTAAGAAGAGGCTTTTCAGTTCTACTCAAGGAAACTATATCTCAAACAGGAGCACAAAACTGTCCAGAGCAATTTGTTAAAACAACATGATAATCATTGATTATAATAACTACAGTGTTTATAGAAAAATTAAAACAAGTGTGTTTTGTTCTTGGGTTTATAATTAATAAACTTGATAATTTTACAAAACTGAAAAGAAACTTGAATTGGAAAACTTCTGTTTTGTTTTTTAATATACAGCCAAGGAAATGTGAACAGCTTCAGAATGCATCCTTATGGGTGGGGGACCTGGATTCTGAATAATTATGTTAAATTCAGTTTGAGACATATTCAATATTATTCATTATCCATTTCTATATTTATTTTATTTCTGAATTTTGTATAAAATTGAATGAATTAAAGAAATAAAAAGTTTAACAATGTAGTATTTCCCAATATTTCCCAGTTTAGAGAAAATTTGTAGTATTTCCCGGAACGGGAAATACCGGTATTTACCACTGGTAATTCCCACTACTGGTATTTCCCGGCCAACCCTGTATATTAGTGTAAAAAGTTGGGATGATGATTGAAGAGGTTGTAAGACTTCCAGTAATGACTGATGCAAAATTTTTCTGATTCGAAGTTAGTGTGAATTCCTGCAAATTTTTCAACAGCACTATTCTTATCATTCAGATGGGACAATAATGATATGCAGCAATATGATGATGACTTGGATAGCATGGAAAAATCCAGGTTTGATATATCCCAGAATCACATTATCAATTTTATATCTTCAATGTCTGAAGCCATTTTTAAAAAGAGATTCTAGATATAAACTTAAGATTATTATTAACTCTTGTTTTATTTTTAGACATCGTGAATCAACATCTCGATCAAGATCTCGCTCCCCGGTGAGACGTTCCAGGTCAAGATCTCGATCACATGAAAGACACCGAGACAGAGCTCGTCGAATAAACCTTATCTCAAAGAGAGTTATTATCAGCAATGTACCATATGAAATGAAATGGCAGGACATCAAAGACATTTTCAGGAAAGAAGGTAAACACTGACACTCAAAGTGAATTTTTTTAATGAAGTTTGGAGAGTTGCACTAGCTAAAAATGCAGATTTTAATTCATTTCTATTATAAATCGATTTTCACATATTCATAAAAATTGATGAATCAATGGCTAATAACATTTAGATCTCATGAATCCATATTTGACTTGTAGAAATTGAAAATTTTTTACATTTTTACTTTTGTATTTTTATAGTTGGAGAGGTTCAGTATGTTGAAATGTTTGAAACACCAGATGGAAAATCACGTGGGTCAGGGTAAGTATCTTCATTTCATTTATTCTGCACATTTATGTGTTTTACATTTTTCATGCATATAATTTCTTGAAGCTTTTAATAGAATGGTAAAGCAAATTGCATTAATTAATAGTATGCAATAAGTTAACTGTATTTTATACTAACGGTACATTGATAATATTGTATTGAATAAAAGTCTTTTGGTTAAAACTACTTTCCCTGCTATTGGACAAATTTATTTGTTTAAGAAATCCATGATTTGATTCATTTTTCATAGTAATGTTTTGAAATTTTCTCTGTAGAATTATTGAGTTTAAAGATAAGGACACAGCTAGGAAGGCAATAGAAACAATGCACAGATACAAGATGAAGGACAGAAACATTGTTGTCAGAGAGGTAAAGCTTTTGTTTCACTGAGAAGAAGGAAACATTTTCTTGACGTTGAATTCAATAAGGATTGTAGAATTTATATAGAGGAGGTTTGCTATTTATCAAATGGTTTAAAATTAAAAATTTACCATGGCCTTTTGATTTATTGAAATCTTACATGTATAATTTCTGTATTATAGGAACGTGAAAGTGATCAAAACCAGAACATGGGCGGAGGACGTGGAGGTGGATCCGGGATGATGGGTGGTGGAAGCATGGGAGGAGGAATGGGAATGATGGGAAATATGGGTGGAGGTGGAGGTATGATGGGTAATATGGGAGGGGGAGGCCCTGGTATTACCCCACAGCTTCTCCAGCAGCTTGGTGTTGATGGACCGGTCACAAACACAGTATTTGTATCCAATGTAAGTGAACATAGCACTTGTATCCAATGTAAGTACATGTATATGTATAGCGATTGATCATTTTCATAAGGAAATTATATATATTTTATTTTTTTCAGTACATATATATATATATATATATATATATATATATATATATATATATATATATATATATATATATATATATATATATATATATATATATATATATATATATATATATATATATAAAGGTTTTTGTTTTAAAAGATTGATTACAAAGTAACATGGAAGAAATTGAAAGATGTGTTTAAGTTGGCTGGAAATGTGCAGAGAGTTGAGGTGATGCAGTCCAAAGATGGCAAAAGTAGAGGCATGGCTACTGTAAGCTTTGACACTCAGCTGGAGGCCCTACAAGCAATATGTATCCTCTCTATAAAAAAAAAGTGAAACTTAACTTAGTGTATTGGAAAGGATGTAAACATAAGATAATGCTTTTTTTTTATAAGGCCTATGAAAAAAAAATCTGTTTGTTTACTAATAAAAGTAGAGTCAGTAGGTAGAATTTCAGTCTTTTTTAAAAAATATTTTTTACATAAATGATAAATGCATAACTTTGAAATACATTTTTTATAGACAGTTTAAGGCATTCTTCCTCTAGCCATAAATTTTTTTTTTTTTTTACAATCTACCCAACAGCCCTAAAAATTGCTACTAAGAAGTGACCTACTAAAAAGTGAACTTTTGACCTCCAAAAATCAACAAAAAATAGTCAGTAAATGAAATTAGGGTCAGTCAGGTTACTATAAACAAACTTATTTTTTCCTTGGGCTTAATTAGATGCTGAAGTTAAAGTCCAAAGGTTAAAAATAAAAGAACAGGTATTTCTTGACGAATTCGTATTAGACCATACTATGGAAAATGTTAATGTTTAATATTGGAGAACAGCAACCAAGTGTAATCCTTAACGGTTTCACAGCTATGTTCAATAATCAGACTTTGTATGATCGTCCTATGAGAGTGAAAATGGACAGCACAGCAGCCAAGAAAGGACCTGATATACCCTTACCTGGTAATCCCTCAGTTAAAAAAAAATTGTTGTATTATTCATTACTATTTTAAACCTTTGATTTACTAAACTTTGCTCTTTTTCATTGTAGCTGGATTGAGGTCGATTGGCATGGGACTTGGTTTAGGAGGAACACCAATTCAAAACTCCCAAGGTAGTAGTGCATTGTAAGAGCAGTTGATCTGGTTAAAAAAAAATGTTGAAAATGTATATGAAAGAGTTCCCCCAAGTTGAAAATGTGTGTGTGAGGGTGTGTGTGTGTGTTGATAGCATCAAATATACTTCTTTATTTTTGTAGGATCAGGAATGGGGATGGGCAACCTTGGGGGAGGAGGAGGAGGAGGGATGGGCTCAGGCATGTCTTCAGTTGGAGGGCTTGGCAACATGGATAGTGGGATGGGTATGGGATCTTCCTTGGGTGGTGGATCTGTGGGTTCAATGGGTGGTAATCTGTCTGGCCTTGGTCTAGGAGGAGGAAACATGGGGGCTGGATCTAATGTTGGATTGGGTGGATTGGGGAATTCTGGTCTGTCAGGAATGGGCCTTTCTGGTGGACTTAATGACTTTAACTCTGGTATGGGCTCAGGAGGAATGGGGGGCAATTTTGGTAACTCACTTGGTGGTTTGGGAGACAATCGCATGGGCCTGAGCAGTCTTAGTAGCAATAGTCTGAGTGGGAACAGCTTCAGCAGCAACATGATGGACAATTTGGGAAGTGGGCTTGGACTGGGAGGAAGCAGCTCTAACTATGGAGGAAGTGGGCTATCATCTTCGTACTCTGACCGTGGAGGCAGCAGCAGGGGTCGAGATAGCCGGGATAGTGACCGTTCCACTCGCCCAGACAATTGCACTGTCTGTGTAAGAAATGTAAGGCAACCTACAGTATGTTTATTCTTGATACATTTATGTGAAGAGATATTTAAGAAACAAATTAAGTGTTTGATAATTTTTAAGGACATGTGAAGCATTGTAGTTCATATACTTCGTGAATTGTTAGCAAGTAAATTCATTTTTAGCTCCCCTTGACAAAGTCAAGATGAGCTTATGCTATACCCAAGGCGTCAGTGTTAGCGTCGGCATCCTGGTTAAAGTTTTAGGAGCAAGTCCATTCCCAAGTAACTATAAGTCCTACCTGGACCAAACTTGCTTGGATGATGCATCTAGGAATGGACACTACCAGACTTGCTTTGGATGCTGGATCTGACCTACATTTTCCAGATTATTGACTGGGTTAAAGTTTTTGGAGCAGGTCCATTCCCAAGTAACTATAAGCCCTACCTGAACCAAACTTGCATGGTTTCCTTTTCTAGTACATACATGTGTAAATGATAATTTGCAATTTTTTCAGCTTCCATACTCTTTGAAATGGCAAGATCTGAAAGAAAAATTCAAGGCTGTTGGTAAGTATTGACATTCAGAAGATCAACTGTCTATCAGAAATGACATATAATTAACTTTTTCCAGTTACTTTTTGATCAATTGTTATACTCCTTGTATTGAATATGATCCGTATGCATAGTTGTATCAAAAATTCTTTTGAACACAGCTGATGTAAGGTTTGCTGAAATCAAGATGGAGAATGGTAGATCTGCTGGATGGGGCTTGGTGCGCTTTGGAAACCCTGATGATGCACAGAGAGCAATTTGTATCCTTTATTTTTAGCTCACCTTGACAAAGTCAACAAGCCATTAGCGTCCAAGTTTAGGAGCAAGTCTCCTACATTATCTGGCATTCTTCAGATACAGGATCTGATCCATATTTCCTGGATGAGAGACCAGGTTAAAGTTCTTGGAGCAGGTTTCATTTCCCTAACTATAAGCCCTTTGGTGACAAAACTTGCATGGATGATGTATAGGATGCACAGTACTAGACTGACTTTGAGTGCAGGATCTGACCTACATTTTTTGCATGAGTGAACAGGTGAAAGTTTTTTGAGCAGAACCAGAAGCCCTTTAGTGACCAAACTTGCATAGATGATGCATCTAGAAAAACTCTTCCAGATGGGTTGTGGGTTCTGGATCTGACCTACTTTTTCCAAGTAACTAGGTAAATGTTTTTAGAGCAGGTTCATTCCCAAGTAAGTATAAGCTCAATGGTCACCAAACTTGCTTTGATGATGCATCTGAGGATGCATACTTCCAAACTGGCTCAGATTGCTGGATCTTACCTACATTTTCTGGATGAATGAACATGTTTAAATTTTTGGAGCAGGTTTATTTTCAAATAACTGTGAGTCCCACCTGGACCAAAGTTGCATGGATGATACATCTATGAATGCATACAGACTTGCTTTGAATGCTGGATCTGACTTACATTTTTTGGATGAGTGAATAAGCTAATGTTTTTGAAGAAATTTCATTTGCAAGTATATGTAATTGTAAGCCCTTCCTGGACCAAAGTGGCATGGAAGATGCACACTACCAGACCTGCTTTGGATGCTGGATTTGAAATGTATTAAAGTGGGTTCATCTCCAAGTAATCATTACCTGGATCAAACTTGCATGAATGAAGTATATAGGGATGCACACTACAGACTTGTTTCTGATGCTGGATCTGATCTTTATTTTCCAGGTGAATAAACAGGATAATATTTATCACTGGTCAATTCCCAAGCAACTATAAGCCTTCATGGTGACTGAACTTGCATTGATGATGCATGTTACTAGGGATGCTCACTACTACATGTAGGAAGCTGGATCTGACCTACATTTGCGGGGTAATTGAATAGTAATTGTTTTTGGATCAGATCCATTTTCAAGGATCCATAAATCTTAAGTGGACCAACTTGTGTAGATGGGGTATTTAGTAAACAGAATCAAAGTACTGATACAGTACTGAAAGACGGGGTCAAATACTAAACTTCATTATTTTACATATTTCATATATAAATTCATTTATATTTCATAACTGCATGTTGAAATTTTATGTAGGGCTTTGATACCAAATTAGATTTTTTTTTTATAATTTAATATTAACATTTAAAAAAAAAAACGTGAAAAAGATATCTGCACATTTTTTTTTCTTTTACACTGTAATGGAATAATCAGTAACCGCTAGTCAAGAAACCTTTTTGAATTGTCCGAATGTCACTGGGTCCGAATTAATATGACATTTCCGGAAGTAAACAATCGATGATGTGTACGCAGTCTTGTATTACGCAGCCGAGTAGTTTGTATACTAGATTGGTTCAGTATTATGTTTTTCACGTTAAAAATTTTCAAAACGGTTCTTTAATTTGAGGAAGAAAAACTTCATAAGGTTCTCTTTAGTTTGATACAGAGTGTTAAATTTTTAATCAAAACAATTTCTGCACTCTTTCATGTAGCGTAGATTAAATTCATGTGTTCTCCCTACCGGTCAGAACATTTGTTTGGTATGAGACTTTGCCTTACTTATAGATAATTTTTTTTTTTTAGCTGAGCTTGCAATCTTTGATTACCTTTGTTTTTTTAAGTGTTCCTGATATTTCTACAGTGGTGCCTGGCTAATCCAAGGTTTTAAATGTTGATGAAAATAATGCATACATGTAGTCAAGTTTACCTTGTTGTGTAATGTCAGAGCAATATCTAATGTTGAAATTTCAATTCCTATGTACATTTTCTTTAATGTTTTGCTAGCTCTGATGAACAGATCCCGTATTGATGGAAGAGAAGTGGATGTCAAAATGTACCGTTGATCACAAATGGTATTGTTGTTGACTCTTGATCCACTTGTGTTGTACAGAATTGGGGTTCACATCACTTTTTTTCCTAGTTTTTGTCATTGGAAGGTGTTGCCTAGTTTTTGTGTTGACCAGTCACAAGAACACCTGAATACTGTATATATATCTTAGTGTGGATCTGTGTTGTCCTTTTGTTTTATCCTCATCCATTGGAATATTTCATCATGATTTTTATAAGAAATGACATGAGGTGACAATTTTATGCTGTATCTCATATGGGCAGACTTGTTGGAGAATCATTTGAACCATTTACTGTTGTCGTCTTTTATAATATTGAAGCAGTGGACCACAAATAAAGTCTTCATACCTAAGACAAGAGTTACTAGTATTTTATTCAATAAGTGTAGTTTGTGTGTGCTTTTAATTCTTTGTTGAAATTTTTGTCATCCACATAAAGAACATTTCTTGGAAGAAGTTACAATTCCAATATATTTTCTCTTTGTTCTTTTCTCAGGAGTAATTGTGGATTTGTTTTGTTTACAGATTTTACACACAGGAGTAACTGAAATTTTAAACTTCAGCATTTTAGTTGCATTTAACTGTTTATTTTAAAAAAGAAAAATGGAGATGAAAGATGATTAAAAATCCATGAATAAGAAGATTTGTTCAGCAAGATTGATCTTTCTTAGATCCTGGTATTTAGTAGGGGATGTCTATTCTATCTTTGTTTCCCATGTGTGAATTTCTGAAAATGGTACCTTGACACATGAGCAGATTTTTTAAAGTAAAAATATGAAAAATAAAATAATTTTGGCCAACACTGTTTTTGATGGTATATTTGTATAATTTACTATGCATGACCCCAGTATAAGTTTTCTTAGTGTAAAGAAAAATCCTGTAATGTGATATTGACAAGGGAAGATGTAAGTCATATGTACATTTAGTTTAGTTATTAATCTAATTAGTTTGTAGATTGTTTTTCTTAAGAGATGAGTTGACAAATTGAGAGCTGTTTGTCTGAGAACTACATTGAGATTTGTAGTGCTAGGAAACCCAAACCAGATGTCTTGAGTCAGAAGCCATTGTAAGTTACCTGGGTATCTTTGATTGTGAGGTTCCAGGTGTACCAATGTTTGGGGAGAAATGCTGATCCAGTTTCAGGCTTGACGATCTCTGAATGGAGTTGGTTTGTGTAAGATTTTTGTACAGGTAAATGTATCGTTTTATTGGCTGGATATTACAGTAACTTAATATGGGCTGTGGGATTTTTTCAGTTTTATCAATTACTGTATTATGAGATTCTTTCATGTGCTGAAAATACTTCAGCATTTTTTCGATTTCAAATATTGTATAGTTGTCAGACATTGTGGGAGATGTGATAAAAGAAGCTCTAGGCTGGAGGGGTATTTCTTTGTGATAAAGTATTTGTTTTTGTTAATTCATGATATTTTCAGTACAGATATTATTTTTGGCAGATGTCCAAGAATGCAGAGTTATTGCCCTTTTCCAAGGCAATATGAAGGTTTATTCCATTGTTCAGCTTTGGGATTTCAGAGGCATTACTTTGTTATAATATGTCTCAGTAATGGTGGTACATTTTCTTTCTGTGTGATTTTGTTGATGGAATTGGTTTCTTTGATAAGTATAATATAAATCTTAATATTCCATATTTTTAGATATTAACAAAAAATAATGAAACAAAAATCCTTTAAAAATTGAAATTCAGACCATTGTCTACCAATCTTTCAACATACTATGCATATTATTTTAGACTGAAGTTCTGGATTATGTTCAACTGCATTGGAACACAAACTTGGGGCTAGCAGAAGAAGTAAATCAGGTAATTACAGTAATTTCGCTCTATGTACCCTTTGAATCGTTGGTGTTTATATTCTAATCCCTAGTTAAATCAGAATAATTTCAAATTCCACAATTTTTCATTTTTAGTCAAAAGCATAATGTAGCAATCTTGATCACCAAAAATTAAGTTTTGAAAATGTATTGAGGTAAATGTTCAATTCTTTTATACAAATTAGATGTAAGAGGATTGGATTAGAGATATTTCAAACAGATCATTCTATCTTATCTCTCTCGGAAAAGAAATACATGTATATCAAAGTATTACAAGGTTTCATGACAAAGTATGTTCAGTGAAGTGTCCTTATTTTTCAGGGTTATTTTACTACTAAAAGAGAGTGTTCAGATTCTATTCCAAGATGTCACATTTAGATAGGAGACATAAAAGGAAAAATCCTACAGAGGTAATATATCACACTAACAGTTTTTAGCTCACCTGAGCTGAAAGCTCAAGTGAGTTTTTACTGATCACATTTTGTTTGTCTGTCTGTAAACTTTTCACATTTTCGAATTTTTCCCCAAGAACCACTTGGCCAAACTCGCTTTGGGTGAAGGGGATTCAAATGTTCAAATGAAGGGCCACACCCTCTTTCAAGGGGAGATAACAAAGAATTAGAAAAGAACAGCAAAGCCATGATTAGTCATATTAATATGGATGCATTCTCAAGTATTGTACATTAGGGCTGTTATTCCAAAAAATTTTTGCGTTGGGTTGGTTCAGTTAATTTTCAGTTTGGTTTCAGGTTTTTCGGTTTGGTTCTTTACATCTTTTTTGACCCAAATTTCATGAATAAAACTTGAAACGTCTTCATTTGTTACATTGAATTCACCTTTTAAAAGAATGGCTCAGGTGAGCATTGTGGTCGATGGGCCTCTTGTTAAAGCTGCCCTTTTCATCTATTTTGGGAAGAATTATTCATTGAAATCTTAAAATACAGTTAATTTGGGGGGGGGGGGGGATGACCACCCTTACAAAAGTTCTTTGAAGGTTTTGATTGATCAGAAGCTGTTTTAGATAGCCATAAGAAGTGTGATGTATCATATTCATGTATGCAAAAATCTGCAGTGTTAATTTAAGACATTGGTATCTAAATCTTGTTTCTTTCTGCAGGTTGAGGCGGTGTGATGTCATGACGAGGTTTATACAGAGAGGATGTCTTGAGAAAATTTAATAAAATTGTTGAAATGTATCCCGCTTGCGTTTTTGTATGAAAGATTGCTTTCTATTATATTTCATGCATCAGTAGAGAAAGAGACTAAAAAGGAATAATCATTAGTTCAATGCAGAACATAAAGCATGGTGATCTCACCACAGACCTGATAAAACAATGGAGAATTTATGAAGTAATATGCCAAGGGACATGATTCATAACAAATATGGATTGCAGAAGAAAAGTTTCAATTACAGTAAAACACACTTATAGTGAACAAGCTTATGATGAATTTATGCTTATAACGAAGTTATTTTCATTTCCCTTGGTTTTGAATAGTATTTAGAACTTAACGGATATAACAAATTACGTTTATAACAAAGCAAAATTGTCCGTCCCTGGCACTTCGCTAGAAGTGTGTTTTACTGTATACACATTTATAAACGTGTATTCTGAACTTGGTTTAATTACACCCAAGATTCATTTGCAGGTATAGTAGTTTGTAGGGAAGGCTTTTTAGCTCACCTCAACAAAAAATGGGAAATTGGAGAACTTTAATATGTAATACCCTTGGAGTGGCTTCCCAGGTTAAAGCTTTTGGACACATGCTTCCCCACAATATTAGGTTCCCGAGTGTACTCTTGGCAATGGGACCTCTAAACAAGAGGCCTATTGGCCTTATTGCTTTTCTGAGTTACTATGGCCCTGCTGTTCACCAGCATTGCTTTTCTGAGTTACTATGGCCCTGCTGTTCACCAGCAGATTTTATTTTACCTATATATTCCTATGTAAAATTTTGATCACATTGTGGCCCCACCCAACTCACAGGGGTCATGGATTGAATAAAATTGAATCTACACTACTTGAGGATGCTGCCATATAAATATTACTAATCATGGGTTTGTTCTTGAGGATTTAGAATATCTTATATATTCCTATATGAAACTTTGATTGCTTAATGTGGCCCTACCCTAGCCCCAGGGGTTATGATTTGAACAAACTTGAATTTACACTACCTGAGGTGAAGAAACTTGAATCTGAAGCATTCACATAAGTTTCGTCTTTTCTGGCCCAGTGGTTAAAGAGAAGATTTTTAAAAGATGCCATTAAATTTTCACTAACTCTTCATTATCTCTTTTTAAAAAAGAGGGTGTGGCCCATCATTTGAACAAACTTAAATCCTCTTCATCCAAGGATGCTTTGTGGCAAGTTTGGTTGAAATTGCCTTAGTGGTTCAGGTCAAAAATGTGAAAAGTTTACAGACAACACATGACGGATGGACAAGAGACAGCCTTCAATCAGAAAAGCTCATTTGAGCCTTAGCCTTCAGCTCAGGTGAGCTAAAACAATTTTTTTTTTTTTAGCTCAAAGCATCCTCGATTTAAGGGAATTCTAAGATTTCATCCTCGATTTAAGGGAATTTTGAATTGTTCAAATGAAGAGACAAATTCTCTTCCGATGGTAGATAAGAAAAAAATGGGTGGGGTCAGAAAATCTTTCACAAAAACCACTTAACCAGAAAAGATGACATATTTACCTCCTGAGGTAGTGTAAATTCTAAATTGTTCCACAATAGGGAATCAAAGTTTAGCGTTGAAGTATACAGGAAAAATCTTTAAAAAGCTTCTCTAGACCTGCAGGGCCAGAAAAGATGAAACTTATGTGAATCTTCATGAGTTAGTGTAGATTGTGAATTGTTCAAATCATGGCCACTGGGGGTAGGGTGGGGCCACAATAGGAGATCAAAGTTTTACATTGAAGTATATAGGAAAAATTGTCGCAAGAAGCACTGGACCAGAAAATTTGAAACATGGAAGCATCCTCTGGTAGTGTAGATTCCATTTTGTTTAAATCATGGCCTCTGGGGGTAGGGTGGGGCCACAATAACCAAAGTTTAACATGGGAATATATAGGAAAAATTTTTAAACTGACCTCTTAAGAACAGCTCAGCCATGAAGAATCCTATTTAAAATGTGGAAGTATCCTCGGGCAGTTTAAATTCAAGTTTTTGAAATCTTGAACCCCGGGGGTAAGATAGAGCCACAATAGTGATCATATATATTTTAAAATAGGAATTTATAGGAAAATATTTTAAAAACCTTCTCAAGAACAGCAAAGTTGTGATTAGTCTTATTTATATGGAAGCATCCTCTGGTAGTGTAGATTCAATTTTGTTCAAATCATGGCCCCTGGGTGTAGGATGGGCAATCAAAATTTTACATAGGAATACATGTATATAGTGGAAAAAACTCTGCTGATTGAGAACAGCTGGGCCAAAGTGACTCAGGTTTGCATTGTTGCCCATGAGCCTCTTGTTTAGGGCCAGCTTCATCCACTGAGATGCACTAATCAGATTTCGAAGTTGACATAAATCTGAACAGAAAGAAATTAGTTGATTCCTCAATGTATGTGTTACAAGTGGTTTTGTACCAAAAGGCTTAATATAATTTATCAAGAGATGAGGAAAACAGTCACAATTTGTAATTTTATCAAAAGATGTTGCTGCAGTCAGACCATAAAAAAATGAATGATGTTTGTCATGAGTCCCATGGTCATGACTGGACTTGGAACCCCTGAGGCTCTGATATGAGGATAATTTTAAAGTACCGGTAAGTATAAGCCAAACCTGATCGATGCATCTAGGGATGCACACTACCAGTCTTGTTTCTGATGTGGATCAGACCTACATTTTCCAGATGAGTGATCAAGTGAAAGTTTTTGGAGCAGTTTCACTCTAAAATAACTATTAGTCTACTGGTTACCAAACTAACTTGTTTGATGCGTTTAGGGATGCACATTATTTGAAATGCTTTGGATGCTGGTTCCAACCTACATTATACTGTGAATGATTCTTAGGGCCCCACTATGTGGGTACCCTATAGTTATCCATCTGTCTGTCCATCAAATACTAGTATTTGTCCAGAGAATATTTTCTTTCCCCTGGCCCATTCTGGCTCATATGTCAACCATAATAAGAGTGATATATGTATAAAGGGTGTGCAGTGACTGGAACCAATGTTTATGGTTAAAAACACCTCTATGTAATTTAATATCTTTGGAGCATATTCTCTCCCCTTGGCTCAATCTTGCTCAAACTTCACTCAAACAGTGTCTGTGCATAAATGGTGTGCAATGACCATTGAACCAATTTTCTAGATAAAGGGTCAAGGTCTTAAAAGATCTCAATGTAAAATCCTTGTCCAGAGCATACTTTCTCTCCCCTTTGCCTTATCTGGCTCGTGCTTCAACCCACAGAGTGCTTCTGGGTTAAGGATGAGTGACCTTGAACCAAGTGTATAAATAAAAGGTTAAGGTCATAGCAGATCTTGAAGTAAAATCCTTGTCCAGAGCATATTTTCTTTTTGCCCTGTCTGATTCATACTTCTCCCATAGAGTGCTTGTGGGCTAAAGATGAGTGACCTTGAACCAATTTTCTAAATAATTCAAGGTCAGAGCAGATATCTGAGGAAAATTGTTTTCACGAGCATACTTTCTTTCCTTTGGTTCAGTTTGGCTCATTTTTTTCACCAATAGGGTGTTTGGGTTAAGGGTATACAGTGACCTTGAACCAAGTTTCTAGGGCAGAGGTCAAGTTCAAAATAATCATTGGAATAAGCATATTTTTCTCTCTGGCCATACTTTACCTATTGACTGCTTGTTAGTAGAGGGTATGTAGTGACCTTGAACTTATTTTCTTGATCAAAGGTCAAGGTAACAAAAACATCTTTGTGTAAGATCTTTGTTCAGAGCATATTTTCCCCTTAGCCTAGTCTGGCTCAAACCTCACCCATTGATTGCTTGTGAGTAGAGGGTGTGCAGTGACCTTGAAGAATTGTTCTTTATCAGAAGTCAGCATAAATCTTTGTTCATAGTGTATTTTCTCTCTCCTTGGTCCTATCTGACTCATACTTCACTCAAACACTGCTCATAGATTGAAGGTGTGTAGTGACCTTGAACCTAGTTCTTGTCAGAGGTCAAGGGCATAGCAGACCTGTATGTGCATATTTTCTCTCATCTTGGCCCCATTTGGCTCATATTTCACCTAAAAAGTGTCCATGGGTAGAGATTTAGTCAAGGTCAAGGTCTAAATACAGTCCTTTAGAAGGCCCTTTCATCCTAATATCCTTAAGTAAAAGTGGGGTCCTTTGAGATGGTAACCATTTCAATGATGTCTAGTCCAGATGAGTGAACAGGTTAAAGATTTTTAGTAGGTCTATTCCACCTACCTTGACCAAACTTGCATTAATGATTCATGTAGGGATGAAAGATACCAGACTTGCTCCAGGTGCAGGATCTGACCTACATTTTCTGGATGAGTGACCAAATTAAAGTTTTTTTGAAAAGGTTCATTCCTAGGTAACTATAAGCCCTATGCTGACCAAAAAATTGTAAAAATTTGATCCCCATTGTGGCCCCACCCTACCCCCGGGGTCCCTCATTTGAACAAATTTCATTCTACACTACCCAAGGATGCCTCCATATCAATTTTACTAATCATGGCTTTTCTGTTCTGGAGAAAAAGATTTTTTCCTATATATTCCTCTGTAAACTTTGATCCCCCATTGTGGCCCCACCCTATCCCCACGGTTCATGATTTGAACAAACTTGAATCTACACTATCTGAAGATACTTCCATATAAATATGACCAATCATGGCTTTGCTGATCTTGAGAAGAAGATTTTTAAAGATATTTTCCTATACACATTTCTATGTAAAACTTTGATCCCCCATTGTGGCCCCATCTTACCCCCAGGGGTCATGATTTGAACAAACTTGAATCTACACTACCTGAGGATGCTTCCATATAAATATGACCAATCATGGCTTTGCTGTTCTTAAGAAGAAGATATTTAAAGATATTTTCCTATATATTTCTATGTAAAACTTTGATCTCCCATTGTGGCCCCACCCTACCCCCGGGGGTCATGATTTGAACAAATTTGAATCTACATTACCTGAGGATATTTCCACATAAGTTTCATTTTTCCTGGTCCAGTGGTTCTTGAGAAGAAGATTTTTAAATGATGCCATTATTTTTTCACTAATTCCTAATTATCTCCCCTTGAAAGAAGGCGTGGCCCTTCATTTGAACAAACTTGAATCCCCTTCACCTAAGGATACTTTGTGGCAAGTTTGGTTGAATTTGGCCCAGTGGTTCTTGAGAAGAAGTCGAAAATGTGAAAAGTTTACAGACGTACAGATGGACGGACGGACAACAGACAAAATGTGATCAGAAAAGCTCACTTGAGCCTTTGGCTCAGGTGAGATAAAAATGAGACAAAAATACCATATACATGTATTTCTATACTGAATATTATTCCAAGACAAAGAGATGCCTGGTAGAGACATTGTGCTGGATTTACTATGTGTATACTGTTATATATGCTCAAGTACTCGTGTTGTTTTAGTTTTGTAATAGTGCCCTGGCACATACTTACAAGTGAATAGATCTACTTTAGGAGTTTTTGCCTAGTACCAAACTAACCATTTTCTCTATCCTTGAGTGTCTTATTTCTCTTATTAAAGGGCAACATATCCTCATGCATTTAACAGTTTATTTTGTTTTATTATATACTTATCAATTAAATTGCCATTCTGTGGATTCTTTACAGGGTTGTATTATACTCAGGTGACCATTAAGGCCCTTGAGCATCCTATTCTCCAATACAACATGGTAAAAAAAACCTTGATCCAACACACAAAAATTAAGCCTATGTTATTTTTTCATCACAAACATGCTCGCAGAGTAAGGAGTTGATCCTTATGTTACGGGTTCGAATCCACTATGTGATGTGAAGACCAGTCCTTCAGATGAGACCATATAAACTGAGCTCCCATGTCAAAGTAGGTACTGGCATGAAAAAGATCCCTCACTGCTCAATAGCCCTGAGTGACAAGTACAGATCTAAATTTGCTGCCCTCCACCTGCAAGTGGTGGCATCTCAATATGAGTGAAAAATTCTTGAAGGGACGTTAAACAAACAAATCATCACAAACAAAAGTTCTCATGTGTATGTTACTGTATTTCAATGAAACATAGACTGATGGCAGTATGTAAAATTAGACTCCCCTATAAATGCTTGTTAATATACATTCATATAAATGTAGTCAGGCACACCATATTCAGTAACACACAGTTATAACAAACACGCTTATAATGAATTGACACAGCAAAGTGATTTCAATTCCTTGTGGCTTTAAAATATATAATATACTTAACAAAAATATAATGAATTACATTTATAATGAAGCAAAATCATCCATTCCTAGCACTTTGTTATAAACGTGTTTTACTGTATGGAGTCATACATTGTAATTCTGATTAACATACACATTTCATTGGTATCTTATTAAAGAAAATTAAGATGGAAATTCAAATTCCAATTTAACAATTAATATGTAGATAATCAAATTTACATCACTTTAACATCGTATGTTTGTTTTTCATTGAATATTTATGAAGAGTACACACAAAGTTACAAAAGATAATCACTAACAGTTGATACATGTAACGTGTTATATGTAAAAACAAAATATTCAACACTGAGAAAACCAGGAGAAACAAGCCATAAAACCTATACAAATCGAACAACAAAGATAATTAACAGCTTTAAAATGTTTGAAGAATATTATTCCATAGCAAGACACTCTTTCAATTCAAGTTTACCTGTGACAATTTAGTTAACATGTATACAGTGTAGTTGTAATTTTTTAAGAACATTTATTAATACAAGTAGTCTGAGAGCAAGGTTCACTTGGTTTTTTTTTTTTTTGCCCTGTGAATTTCTCTAAAAAAAAAAAAAACAAAAACAAAAAAAACTACTCAGTTTTAGTCGATGATGCATTAAATATCATTTGGACTCTTGGTGACTGCATATCTATTGAAAATGATAACTGTAATTTTCTGGCTAGTCAATGCATCATGACATCATGAATTGGATCATTATTCCCATATCCTGAAAATGTCTTAAAAAATAGGCAAAAGCTTAATTTGTTTTTCAATATTTCTCATAGAGCACAACCTCTGCAAAATGTGCAATTATGTAACAATGGAACTGTTTCTGAAGATTATAAAACACACTTATTTTTTTGGATTGAGGGGTACATGTGCTCATATTTTAATTCGACTTGCCAAAGGTACTAAAATACACCTCTTTTCTGCAAAAGTTCAAGAATACTGCAGTTTTACAAAGCCTTTTCTCCTATACACTGTACCTGCACTCTAAGAGGAAACTTTGTTATAGGAAATAAAAGTACCAAGTCTTTATACTGATGCTTGAACTGGGACATAGGGTGTTAGTATATGAATTGGTATACCAGTAACTACAGGGCCATTTTATGCATAAAGTGACCTAGCTCTTTAAGAAAGTTTTCTTTGGTATAAAAATATAGACAAATAATGCCAAAATGCATTAATTAACATATAAATTTATCCTTCACATTGTTCAAGAAATTTAAGTTCATTCTGAAAATATGAGGTCAATGTTATTCATTTCAAGGTCACAATTTACGTTATATTTATAAACTTGTTAGGTTTAATTTATGCACAAAATGGTCCTGTCAATTGGCTATTAAATCAGTTCTTACAGTACATCCAATTCCAAACACTAAACAAGAAGTCTCCGACATGATGTAGCTCTACTTATACCGGCAGTAGTATAAAAGTCGCACATTTTTTCATTATCAAGTACCAAGTTTTATCAAAATTGGAAGGAAAGTGGAAGAGGAGTGGAATTTTGTATTTTTTACAGAAGGACATATGATAGACATTTAGAACCAGCTAGATCAGAAGTACTTCTGATTGTCATTCATAATAAACACTAAAAGTTCTAACATACACTTATAAACCTTAGATTGGAGGTTGTGCTCTTTTTAAAGTTTAACTTGAATATTGACCATTTTTGAATTAATTGTTAAACTGGAATATTGCAATTCATGACAAAAAAAGCTGTTTAGACAGTTGTCCTTAGATCTGTTCATTATGCCTTATACTTTAAGTTCACTATGGATACACATCCGATGAATTTAGAACCCATCCAATTATTTTCAGTGCCTGAGGGTAATAATATTTATTTTTAGTTGAAAATGGTTCAACACGTATAAACATGTTATAGTTATTTGAAAAAAAAATCAATTATTTGAATGATCTAAATTATCTTTCTTTGAATGAAAAATATTCCTAAATAATGTTCACTTATTCACATATTTTTTTTTACCTGGAAGATTTAATTTGAATTAAATTGATGACCAAATTAAATATTCTCAAGAAATCATTATTCTTAAGCATAATTTAAATTAAAAACAAATGTTACAGCCCTTCTCTCTACAGATACCTGGAGGTTAAATGGAGTAAATTGTATCTGTGTGTATATCTGGTATTTTCAGAAACTCCCCTTTCATAAGGATGCTATAATTTATAACCCACCCTTTGTATCTAAGTACTTTGGTCAAGGCAAAAACTAAAACATAGACTGGCACATTGATGCCAACTTTACTTCTGCAGACATGGCAAAAATAAGTGATAATTACAAAATAAATAAATAAATGCATACATAATTCAAGACAAAGTAATTCCTTACTATGAGTGATTTATGAACAATTGTGTGACTTGACACCTTATCAAAAGAGATAATTTAAAATGGCAGTACATGTACACACATCTTGTTAAAAGAAATTATTTAAAATGTAACTTGACTGTTAAGTACATCAACATTTCATGATTGTTAAACAGCCTAGAGAATATTAAAAATGGAAGAATTTTGCAATTATTAAATTGAATATAGCAACACCCAAAAAATCAATGCCAAGGGTGCCGTGTTCTAGAATTAAGGGCCACAATGCTCACACAAGTGACTTAAGGCTAAGTATGGGCGATTCTATTCATATGAGCTAATTAAAATACGTAAGAGGGATCGATGCCAATTATACAGAGAAAGTTTAAAATCTCTTTCTAATACATACTTATTACCCACAACATGTTATAGATAGTTCACATTATATCATTCTTCTGTACAACTTGAGGTAATAGAGAGCATCCACATAACAGCTTTGCTTCACAGATATATCTTATTCCAGTTTTCTAAAACATTGTAAAATAACAAGATTATAATCCTAAGTTTGATGTGATTGTACAAATCTGACACATTTGATCAGACTATACAATACTATAATACTTATAGTGGACTATGTATTTTTACTGTGTTTCAACTCAAAACTTCACAAATAGTAACTTGATAATTAATTGAACTGTGAGCATTTGTGTAGCAATACCATGAATGTGTGGAGTATTCTTATTCTTATTATTAAATATGGTTTCTGTAAAATTAAATAAAATGGGTGGATCCAGAGGTAATGTAAGTATACTGCTATAAAATCTTTAATAATGGGAGGTCATCACTGACATCATAATAGGACTTCATTATTACTGGTAATTTGATCACATAAAGGGATACATTATGTGTCTAAGAAAAAGAGTTTAAACCTTCTCTGTATAGAAGACAACCTCTTATGTGTCTTAATTAGCTCATTTGCATTGAAATGCCCAGACCTAGCTCACTCACTCGACCTGGTTTGTATGATTGAACTTCATAAATGTTGGACTCTTAACTGGCCTATCACTAAGTCTAAGGCCATGATTGGACAACTTCTGTTGAATATTGAACAAATCTTTAACAAATTTCAAACCTGGATATGTGGTTTTAAATGACATTATCTCAACTTTATATATCTTTATATATTCTTTTTTAGTATCCATTTCTACTGACAGAGAACACTGGAGTTTATCATTCTTCATCAAAGAATGCTTTGTGGAAAGTTTAGTTGAACTAAATTGGTTGACAGACAACTGACAAATGCCAATCAAGAAATGTCCACTTGAGCATCTGGCTTACAGTACTAGAGCTAATCAAGTGATATGAATAAATAAATTTACATCATATAATTAAAGAAAGTTTGTAGATGAAAAATAACACAGACAAAATGGCAGTTTTAGGACAAAAGCAATAAACCAAGGTAATGAAAGCACTGAATTAGGCAAACAAATCCTCTTCTTCGCTGTCTTCCTCTGATTCAGGTGAGCTTTCTCGAGTGAACTTACTGATTCGACTCAAACTCTCCTGTAACAATCTCATGTGACTGTCACTTGGTGTGTCAAAAATATCTGGGTCATGTGCCGTTTTCTTGTCTTCTTTATTTTCCGTGGGTCTCAGTTTGACTCCTTGTTTGATCATGCTTAGAATATTATCCATAGGATTCACTGTATGTAAAATACAAAGATAGGAATTAATATTTATCCATTTCAAATACTGTAGCTGTCAATCACATTTGATTTTCTATGATATATCAGAATTTCACATAACTGGATTCAAAAATAAAGTTTTAATCTTTAATAATATGAAGTACCCCAGTAAATTAATTTACCAGTTGCATGGAGCTACGAAAAATTTTTGCCTTGCTAATTAATGCAATGCTATCTCACAGCATTCATGGTATTCAAGATATCAGTGTTCAGGATAATGAAGTTCAACTGTAAATCCATTTCTGAATCAGATTCCATTCCGACTTACCAGGTATGGGTTTTTGTTTCTGATGACTCTTACTGACAGGCTTCAGTTTGCCTTTTCCTGCCAAAATGGATCCCAGATCAGGTGGACCTGCTCCCTTCTCCTTAGGTTTCTCTTCCCTTTTTTCCTTCTTTACAATCACCAGTTTAGCTGGAGGACCATCTGCTGATGGGGGTGGTGGTGGGGGTGGGGGTGGAGGAGGTGGTGGTGGCACTAGAGGAGGAGGGGGAGGGGGTGGAGGAACACAAGCAGAGGGTGGATTTAAGAGTGGTGGAGGAGTTGGTGAGGAAGAGTTTTGTTTTTGTTCCCCTCCTTCTGAAGTGTAAATAGTAACTGGCATTGAATCCACAACATCCTGGGATTTTCTAGGCCTGGGTGTAGGCTTAGCTTTACCAGTGCTCTTAACTGACTTAGAAGGTGACTTTTTTGGAGTGTTTGTGATTCTGATAGTTTTCTCAGAGTTTGTAAGAGGTCTGCTTGGCTTTTTGACATATGTTTTATCACAGACAGGCATGGACTGGGGGGATTCTTCAAGAGGGGTCTTCTTCTGACTAGGTGGTTGGTATCGAGGTGGTTTTATTGTCTCTGGTGTTGGATATTTCTAAAATGAAAATTTGAAAGAATATAGGCTTAAAAAGCAAACAAGTTCTGCAATAAAGTCTTTGAATAAAATCTAAGTGGTGTACTTTTTTAAAAGTCTGTATAAGTCCTATCAGAGGAAAAGTCAGCAAAATAGACAAAAGTCACTGATTCCTGAGTGCCTATGTTAACCTTATAAAACCTCTAGATATCAATATAAATTATTTTCCTTAAGATTATCTGGCATCAAAATGGGTTTCTTGGATGAAAATTGGTTCCATTTTAAGAAATATATTATTACATATATAACAGCACTAGATATTGCTGAATCATGATTCATGAATTATCTTAATTGAAAAATCTTAGATATAAGGTTCACTTACTATTTTAAAGTCTTTGATACGATTAATGGCCTTTGAGCGTTGATCATTTATAAAATCACTTTTCTTTTCTTCCTCCTCTTTTTTGAAATCCCTTTTCTTGAACAAAAAAAATTATATATCTATTAAAAATTTCAAATTTCACTGTGTCAGACTATGAGAAAAAATTGGATACACCAGTAATATTAGTAAAATCATTTCAAAAAATTCATCCGATGTCAGGTGATATACAATGCACGTACATAAACCTAGAAATATTAAAAGAATGAGACCTTACAATGATCAATACAATGATTTACCATCTGAATGGCATGATGTTGTTTAAACTGTATCTCTTCATCCTTCTTCTTTTGAATTTTAGATTTGAATTTCCTTTCCAATGAGGCCTTATAAAACAACAATATATTTAAGAAATAAAGTTTTTGTTTTCGTGAATGTTGCTGGTTAAATTCCGAGGTCAAGAAATTTTGTTTTAAAAGATAAAAGCTGAGCCATTAGCCGAGGCTTTTACATTTCAAACAACATTTTGAGACTGAGGAAGTTATTCTGCATTATTCATGACAACAAGAACTTTATTTGTATTCTACTAAGAGCTCTAAAATATGATTGGACGCTTCCTCTATAGAAAAACGAATTAGATCACGATGTCGTGCTTTGGTTGTTCCATGTAACGCCTGAGGGTCAACTTCTTTGTTTACTTGTGTATTGATTGCAAAGGAATGCAGACGATTAGAGCTTTCGTTAGATTCCAAATATCCTTTAATCATTTATAATTTTGTTTGCAACATATATTAATTAATTTTCATGATTACGAAATAACAAAATCTGTCATCAATTTACTATAGTAACTGCTTTAACAGTAAATTCTTGGAGTGTAAATGTTATGGGGAGCTCCATAGAACAGCCCCTTTAATTTAAACTATAAAAACAGGCATTTTTTCAGCTGTTTTAGGCAACACACAACAAGTAGATTGCAGAAGACAAGACAACAATATTGTCTAAATAAGTATTATATTCTTAAGTCACATTTTTAATTCTCCTTTACAAGTTTTGGATGTGTTTCTGATCTGATAATTTTTTGATGACATTCGTGATTTATTGGAGAATAATGGCCGCAGCATTTCTTTGATCTCGGCAATAACTGTAGTAGAATACACCTTAATGATATTTACTCAACAGTTAAAAAATCAAAACTCATAATATATCTAAATTTAACATTACTGCATTCTGCATACATGTAAAATATCTCCATTAAAGAGGAAAAATAATCTATTTTACTACATTTTAAAGTGATTTCATAGTTATTTGACTGGGTTTATATGCTAAATAAACTGATATGGTATCATTCAATCAACAGTACAATGCCACATGTACTTACATACCTGACATTAAGTTTAATATTTTTAATTGATCCTTCTCTTAACTGACCTTAACGTTGCGTATCTTGGCTCTTCTCCGTGTGATGGAGGTAAGCTTACTACGTAGAGCCACAATTCGAGGGTCTGCGGAGGACTTGAGTGGGAACTCCTCATCTGAACTAAGGTCACCCACATCCTCCACAGCATCGTAAAAAACAGGGATGTCTTCTTTAGCTGACACATAAACAAACACTGACATATCCTTCAGTTCAAATACAAATTTTAACAAAAACTGCTCTTTAGTCCTTAAAGAACAAACTTCTTTTTATCATAAGTAATTAAAGTAACCATATATTTATCATTCATACCTTTTATCTGATTAGTAATAGCCTCCATCTGGGTTCTAATCAGTTTTTCTTCCTCATCAAGAATAGCCATTTGTTGTTGCTGTACCCGGATTTGCCAATCAAACACCACCCCCTCTAGTCTCTCCAGCTCTTTGATGGCCCCTGGTTTGTCCTCTACACTCGCTATCTGTAAAACAATGGTAGAGGATGTCCACTGTTTAAAATACCGGTTGGACTATAGAAATTACACATACCTTTTAAATAATTTATGAGTCTGTTTATCTTTTCGTACCTTATATTTTGACAATTAAATTTCTAAAAATAAATTAAACCTCCTCTCACCTCCTCCTTTACTTTATCCCGTTCTTGTACAAACAAATTCTTCTCATTATTTAACAACTGAAGACATTCTAAACAAAGGTCTTCATTTATTCTGAAATAGATACTAATTAATTAATCCTTCACTCAAAAGCACAAACCATAAGCCAGTCACATATTCCAAATAAAAACAAAATAAGACAAAAGAGAGAGAGAAAGAGAAAACAAACAAATAAAAAAAAAAGAAACCAGAAGTGTCTGGTAAGACTGTAGCTCTACTGGCTTATTAACTAGTTGAAACAAAAGATAGACTTTACACCACACCAACAACATTGGTGATGGCAGCTGCCCCTACCTGAAACACTTTTCATAGTTTTACATATAGTATACATGCTTTCTAAACTTGTATCAAGCATTTATACTGAAATCAAATCAAAACTCTAGGAGCATCTTGATTTTGAATTCATAGATTCATAGATTATACTACTTTCAGTAGGCAAAACACCACCATTTATTATATCTTAGACTTTGCAGTATATGCCTTAGAAAAGTTCACTTATATACCAAGTTTTTATTGAAATCAGACCAAAACTGTTTAAGGAGTAGTCTTTTGAAATATTACAAAGGTTTAGGAAACCAACGAGGAATTCACTGCTACACATTATGCATTGCTAAACAAGTAAAATAATGTGAACATGTACATGTAATATTCTAACTTGTAGTTTACTCTTACAAGAACATGTACACTAGAGTTTGCTAAACCATTCTATTGTTTACAGACAAACAGATAGACAGATTAACACCATACACTCTTCTGATCTACAACCTATAGAGCTATTTAGTCTCCACACATATGTTTAAAATTCTAACTGTCCCTGGCCCTTAAATACATCTTGTGCTAGAAGCTTAAGAAAGTTTTAGCATAGAATTTAACTACCAGTAATAATATGTGATAGAGAAACAAGGGTGAAAATATCAACTGCCCAATCTTATTATTATCCCCCCTCACAATGGAGGTAAAAATTTATAATGGGATTGATGTGCTCTATTGCAAGGGGATGCGCCACTTTGTGAATCTTTCTTAAATATACTAAAATCAAATCCATAAAAGTTAGAACAGACAACATCTGAGTGAGACAATATTTTCAAATAGAAGATACAATGTTCATGCTGAAAAAGTCCTGTCCATCTCCTTTCAATTGGAAGATGCCATTTTAAACTGATACACAACTTCAGTTTCACTGATTTTTTTTTCTCTGATTGCTGCATTTTTTGTTGCATCTTAGCATCATCAATTAATAATAAATATAACTTTGCTCAGATTGAATCATTTTGAAACTTCATTTTTTTTTTTTTTTAACTTGGAATTGAAGATTGTCAGTAGAATACTACTCTTTTAAATAAGACTGAATGGAAGAATAGTACCAGATGGTTCTTACCTAAAAAATCTTTCAGCACCAATCAATTCAAAAGCAGTTTTTCCAAATTTAGTTTGATCTTCTTTCATTCTTTTTAACATATCTAAATAAATGAAACAATCATCATCATTTCAATAATCAAATGAGGCTCTAAAAACCAAATGTTCATCTACCACGTGATGTCTACAAATACAATGCATTACATACTCTGTACTGTGCATTGTTAAAGTAAATCTCAAATAATACTACACAGACATATAGCAACGGTTTCAAAAGTGGGGGGCCTACTTACCAAAATAATCTGACAAGCAAAAAAATGAACTGAAAGGTGAAACTTTGTTGCCCAAAAGCAAGAAAAATAGGGTGATCGGGATCAACAAAATAATTAGTTTAGTATTCATAAACAGTTCATAAATTAGGTTCAAATCTGTTCCCAATTTTTCACTATCACCATACAGTATATTAACAAACTATCAGTGCTTCTGTACTATATAAATTCCTTGTGGAGATGTCTTACATTGGCCTCTCTTGGTCTTTAATGAACATTTAATAAAACAGGTTATTTTTGTCTCATTTTTATTTATCTATTAATTACAAGTCTACCTGATCATTAGAACTATGAAAGTACTTTTTGTATTATACAATAAAAATTCTTGCATAATTCTCTTATTCTATTAACCTTTCAAATACTTTATTTACAGTGATTAATCATCAAAAGTAAATGGAAAAGGGGAATAACTCCTCTCAGTAGCATACAAATTAATAGAGCCCAGGCAAGGACCAGAACACTTGACCAAATAGTCCAGATGTTCAAAAATCTGGTAAAAATACCCTTCCTTATTAAAACTTTTACTCTTTTTGCCTCTGATATGCCCAGGTGCAGAGAAGATTTTTAAAGAAATAATGCATTTTTACTACAGATTCATTATATTATCAATAGAGCCCCCCCCCCCCCCCCCAAAGAAATACCAGAGCCTCTGACCATGGGACCAGAAGTTTGCTCATCATAAGTTATCACTTTGTTTATCTGCTTAACACTAAGGAGCAGACAGGATTATTTAATAGAATTAATGCATTTTCACTATATTATCAAGAGCCCCACCCTTAAACTAGCACATCTGACCCAGGGGTCATGCAATTCACTACTCTGGAAAAAGCACTCTTGCTCATCATAACTATACACTTAGCTTCTTTGCTTTTTAACCAGAAGCAGAAAAGAATATTTTAAAAGAAATTTTGCTTTTTCACTATATAATCAATAGAGCCCCCCCCCCTTTTCACCAGAACCCTTGACCCTGGGGCCATGAAATTCACAATTTTGGAAGAGGTATCCTTGCGTATCATAACAGTGTACATAGTTCGTTTAAAAAATACCCAGGGGCAGAGAAGAAGATTTTCAAAGAAATAATTCACCTTTACTATAGGATCTATATAGCCCCGCTCTAGCACCAGAATCCCTGTCCCTGGGGCCTTGAATTTCACAATTTTGGAAGAGGCATCCTTGCTTATCATAACTATATACTTAGTTTGTTTAAATAATACCCAGGAGCAGAAAAAGAAGAATTAATGTATTTTCACTATATAATAAATAGAGCCCCGTCCTAGCAACAGAACCCCTGACCCTGGGGCCATGAATTTCACAATTTTGGTAGAGTCACTCTTGCTTATCATAACTATGTATTTAATTTGTTTCAATAATACCCAGGAGTAGAGAAGAAGATTTTCAAATAAATAATGCACTTTCACTATATGATCTATATAGCCCCACCCTAGCAACAGAATCCCTGACCCTGGGGCCATGAATTTCACAATTTTGGTAGAGTCACCCTTGCTTATCATAACTATGTATTCAATTTGTTTCAATAATTTCCAGGAGTAGAGAAGAAGATTTTCAAAGAAATAATGAACTTTCACTATATGATCTATATAGCCCCGCCCTTAGCACCAGAACCCCTGACCCTGGGGCCTTGAATTTCATAATTTTGGTAGAGTCACCCTTGCTTATCATAACTATGTATTCAATTTGTCTCAATAATACCCAGGAGCAGAGAAGAAGATTTTCAAAGAAATAATGCACTTTCACTATATGATCTATATAGCCCCGCCCTAGCACCAGAACCCCTGACCCTGGGGCCATGAATTTCACAATTTTGGTAGAGTCACCCTTGCTTATCATAACTATGTATTCAATTTGTTTCAATAATACCCAGGAGCAGAGAAGAAGATTTTCAAAGAAATAATGCACTTTCACTATATGATCTATATAGCCCTGCCCTAGCACCAGAACCCCTGACCCTGGGGCCATGAATTTCACAATTTTGGTAGAGGGCTTAATGCTTATTACAATCATGTCAACAGTTTGACTGCTTGATGTCCAGGAGTAAAGAAGAAGATTTTTAAAGATTGCATTAATTTTGGTGGTTTTAGCCCCACCCCTCAGGCCCCAGGGGGGCAGGGACCATGAAATTCATAATTTTTGTTCCCCTTCACCCATAGATGCTATATGCCAAAATTGGTTGAAATTGGTTGAGCGGTTTCAGAGAAGAAGCTGAAAATGTTCAAATGTTAACGCACGACGCACGACGGACAACGCACGCCGACGGACAAAAACAGATAGCAATAGGTCACCTGAGTGACTCAGGTGACCTAAAAAAAAGAGTCCAAATCCTGGAATATACCAGACTCACTGCTTGGCCTTAAGCTACAGGGGCCAACCAGAATCTAAGGAAAAATTTACTATAGGAAAATACAATACTCAGAAAAAGTGGGGAGGTGCCCCCTCCTGCACCCCCCCCCATGTTCTAAGGTCCTGATAAAGAAAGCATTAATTAATCAATCTTTAGCCCTGAAAATAGAGTCTTTACCTTCATAGATTCTGGAAGTTCTTGTATAATATTCAATGTAGTACTTCTGAATGTTGTCTAAAGCTTCCTCGTAATGTGTTTGCCATTCTGTAAACATCGCTCCATATTCTCGCTTTACGCGTGCCCCGACATCAGGGTTCTCCAACTGTTCTTTGGCCTCCATGACTCGGCTATATGCCAGTTCTCTAACGTCAAGGAAAGGCTGTAGGAGGTAATTGTAGAGGGAGGCCAGAGCAATGTTCAGCTTAAAGACAGCATTGTCTTCTGATTTATACACATCCTTCATATCAGTCATATGACTTGCATTGTTACGCAAAAAAATCACATTCTTTAATTCATCTTCCGCTTTGTCGATTTCATCCTCATATCCTTGGCGACGAAGTTCACTGATGTTTTCGAAATATTCCTCGGCTGTGTGTTCTTCATATTCAAACAGAGTTGACATCAAAAGTTTTTCTTTGCAGATTTCCAAAGCATAACACAAATACTCTTCTAACTGTGAACAGACTTGTGAGTAATCTATATTGCACTCTTCATAACCAAAGTACGTCCATAACGACCGAGGTTCCTCTGGAAGGGTAGGTAAGTGGGGCCCCAGGGCAGGATGAACATGGCAAAGTAATTGGTGAATGGCTTCTAATTCACGAAAGGAGAAAATCCCCGTCCTTGTTCCGAGGTTATCTTTGTCACTTACAACACGACTGTGAGGGCGACTAGTAATGGCTACCTTCTTCTTCTCATCATTCCAGCAGACTAAAAAATTGAACTTTGGTGGATTCATCTGGTCAGCAAAGGGCCCCTCCTTGACCACCATCCATCCCTCCAAACTGTCCACTTGGTCCTCACAGTCCATGGCTAACCTTTCTAATATACAAATGATCAAAATTTTACAGCTTCCTTTTGCAATTTTTTTTTTTTTTGAAAATTGTCTTGTAATAAATAAAAGAAGTTTGTTTGTACGAAAAGTTTTAGAGAATGAAAAGAAATTCTTAACAATTCAATTTTAAAAATCAAATATAACAGTAAGATTCAAACTTTTAATCAGAACATGTACCTAAAAATCTTTGCTATTTAGTGATTCTAGGCCATATTATTAATGTTTAATTGGTGAACATGTAATATTAATGAACAGGATGGAATGTTGATCATACCACAACCATTCAATCTTAATTTAAAAAAAAAGAGTTGTAAAGTATATTTTTGTAGATTTGTAGATACCATTCATTTGTTTTGCAGCAAAATTCATTTCAAACAGAATTGATTTAGACAGAAATTTAAACACAGACAAGATGTACAAATGGAATTTATTGACAATCAACTGGGCACAAGTCAACTAGACACTTGGTGACCAGTATACCAGGTGCAGAATTACCTTCACTTGGTGCCAAGTTAACCATGTGCTGAGTTTACCACTTAGTGCCAAGTTCACTAGTATACATCAACAGCAGGTTCTGAAAGTTACAGGATGAGCTATTCCTCTACTTTGGACATTATGAAGCAAATGTTAACAGCACATGTGATTATGACTTATTTGGTTTTAGGATTATTTTGGTGCTATTTTTGTTTTAAAGAAAAAGAGAAAAAAAAGAAAAAGGAGCATTTATATATAATTCCTTGAAGACAATTTTGAAAGAAAAATAACCAATCAGTCCCTGCCTGTCTCAATGAACGATATCAATCTAACAGGTGACATATGTGCACTAGTGAAAATTGCTCACAAACTGACAACCTCTCTCTCTCTCTCTCTCTCTCTGTTATGCAATATTACTAGTTCAGAATCAGATTGAAAATTGAAGAAAAAATATTGCACAGATATGACCTGATGACACAATCACATTGCAAATGTTTGATTTTCGACAGTGTAAATGCATGCATTTTTTCTCCGTTAAAGACATTAATCTAACCAGTTGGAAAAAGTACTGTTATAATGAATGCAATCAATAAGATCAATGATGCATCTTCAATTTACACAGAAATCAGCTGTTCTGTAGAGTCTCAAAAGCCACAAAATAAATCATATCGATATTCATTCCCATAAGTATTACGTTAACCATCGTATTCATAATCATGCTTTTGTTGGTAATTTGTGTCTATCTACCTTTGTTTGATCGTGTTGTTTTAACACAATAGAAGACATTTTGTGCTAAAAATGGTACATGACACTATCACCTGCCATTAGATTCAACTTTTGTGTGTCGTAAATGTAAACAAAACAAAAATTAAATTAATGATGAATGGATAATTATAGCTTAGCATAACAAACACCCAAAATAAAAGATAATGTAACGTCTTAAAATCATTATTGATGAAATATCTCATTTTGAGTGATATCAAAATACAGCGTTTTACGACGTAGTTCATGTTGATGGAATGAGTAAAAATTAGAAATTATGTTTTAAACAACTTTTCTTATTTCTTAAATTTTATGCAACAATCCATAAGTTGATAATATCATTTCGAAAAGAAATAAACTTTAATAGTCTGAAATTAAATTTGATGTAAATCACTGCTTAAAAATAGCTTTATTTGGTTATGTTATTAAAATATTCTTGACACAATCCCTTACAAATTAAAGCGCCATGTTGATTATGATTTTTTTTCCACGTTGGCCACGCATGCGTTTAAATAATTTAGAGAAGATGGCTACAGAGAAAGATGTTGACGAAATTTTTGAGATCAAAACAGCTTTATACACGGGGAATTATCAGCAATGCATCAATGAATGTCAAAAATTAAGGGTAATTTTATGAGGATGATTGAAAAAATATGTTTTTATCTGTAAATTCAGTGAATGTTTCCATTTAGAAGAAGATATCGGTACCACATATGTTGTATGTTGTCCTGTCAAATATTAAGATCTAGATTATGTATTTAATTTTGATTCATAGTACAATTTATAGTAAATTATCTGCACTTGAAGTTGTCTTTTAGTATATTGATATACTTTAGAAAGGGTAAAGAATCGTGGATAGTGTGCAGGTCCGGCACAATCTCGAGACTTGATTTAGCTGTAACGGGAGAGGAGAAAAATGCGACGGACCAGACCGTGATTCGAACCCGGGCCCCCTGAATCTCAAGTCAGGTGCTCCACCAACTGAACTATCTGGCTACCAGCGATCAAACCTGATTGAATGCCATATTCCTCCAACCTTAAAGGTCTTCGGCCCCCCGAAGACACCATCCCAGACTCTTCCCTGGCAGGTCTTTCACCTGTCACTTTCAGGGCATGGCAGGGAAGAGGAGAAAAATGTGATGGACCAGACTGGGATTTGAACCCAGGCCCCCTGAATCTCCAGTTAGGTGCTCTACCAACTGAGCTATCTTGCCAACAAATTGTGTCTCCTTGAGGGACTTTGTACTCAAAGTTCTAAAAGTTTTTTAGACTTTGTAAAACAGATGATTTGTGACCACAGTTACTTCTTGAATGAAATTATAAAGGAGCTCAATTACGGTCAACAAGATCATTGATTGGTAATAATTCAGCACAATGTGAAGCAATCATACTTATCCACGCCTCAACACTCGCAAGGTGTTGGACAGTTATTCAAACAATGGAAGTACATCTTTTCCTTAAAAGTATTCAAAAGCTGCAATGTTAGAACCATATTTGATTTGGGTTGCTTTTTTGATAGCCCATTGTACATAAATGAGTAGTCTACTACTTGCTTCTTTTTTTATTTCTAACAATAAAACATTTTTGTGAAAAACTGCAAATAAATAGCTTTATCATGCAATTTTGAAAAGCTTAATAAAGCTTTATAGCTAATTCAAGCTATATAGCTAAATCAAGAGATTGTACCAAACTTGGTGTGGGGGAGGGGGTGTACATGTAAATGACAAAGTAATATTAGGAAATACATATTAATGTGACCAGGGACTTATATACATGTACTAATGGGATAGACAAGTCTCATAATATCTCACAAAAGAAATTTTGTATATCAATTATATTTAATCTATGAAGTATCAAGTTTTATTTTTTTAATCAAAATATATATGTCTTTTGTACAGTTTATACTCCTTATCTAAGTATTATTACTTTTTATTTTCAAAATCAACATATGCCCCTGATCTGCCCTTTTTCCGAGATTCGGCTGAATTTAGGTGTTTGTTTACTTATCTTGCTTATAGGTACATAAATTATTTTACAATATATGCTTTAAAATTAATTTTAAAATATATTCCAGGTTTCTTATAAATTATAAGAACACAAAGAACAGATTGGATTTATGAAACACCAAACTTTTTACTGAAAAAAAACCCCCATACTTTGAAAAACTTATAAGGTTGTGTGTGATGTTTTGAGCAGATAAACATGGCACTGAAAGAGATGCTTATCTCGTTATTTTATACGTTCCTGATGTGATGGGGAGGGCACCTTTAGTCATGATATTGGTGTTGCACAGCTTTAAAGCTCTCCTTCACTAGTCACATCTAGGGCAAGATTATGACACCAAATGTTATAATAGGAAAAGAGAAAACCATGATTTGAATCTTTGCTCCCAGGAAATCTAGCAGAATGCCTAACCAGTTGAGATATCTGCCCATTTGCTTGATTACCAGTACCGCATACATAATAATCTCAATGGTCAATACATGAAATGTTAAATAAGAAACAATCTGAATGGTCAATATATGAAAAGTTAAATAGGAAAAGTTCACTTGTGTATCTTGAGCAGTGAGTTCACATGTATATCTTATTTTTGTTACAGCTGCCCAACCCAGACCTTAAAACAGCTAAGGATGTTATAATGTACAGGGCTTACTTGGCTCAGAGAAAATATGGTGTTGTTTTGGATGAAATTAATTCTTCACACCCTCCAGAACTGCAGGCAGTTAAGATGTTTGCTGACTATTTATCCAGTGAAAGCAAGAGGTAGCTTAACATATACATGTATGATAGATCTATACAAATAAATCAAATTTCACGATGAATTTACCATTAAAACTTGTATGAATTCTCAACTTGTTGATATTTGCTAAGATATTTGCTAAGATACCTTGTCATACATACTGGTAGTCATACAAATTAATTTTTCCAAATGTCTCTTAGAAATTCATTGTTCTTCGATGGCACATGCTTAAATGTTATGAGACACTTGCATGTTTAGAGTTTTGAGTACATGCAGTGCCATTTTCATTATTATCAAGAATCCTGATTTACTCTGAAGATAACTATCCATTGATGGGAACAATGTAGTTAAAAATATTCTGGTTTTGTTAGTTTCATTTATTTTGTTGCATTTAAATTTTTCTTTGTCACAAGTTTTTATGTAAAGTTTTAAACTTATATTATTTCCAGAAGCCAACAAATAATGACAAAAACTCTTTAATTTTGTTGAGAGCCTGGATGTAATATTTGTTATCTTTGATAGAGCTTCTATAGTAAGGGACTTGGACCAGAAGATGAGTTCAAGTGTTGATGTTTCCAACAGCACATTCTTAGTCATGGCTGCCTCAATCTACAACCATGAACAAGTCAGTCCAATAGTCTTGTACAATTTGTTTAAAAGTACCACAGTTTTCTGATGAATTCAATTTTAAATATAAATACTTGAGAAAAATGGTGTCAGTTCAATATTTTAAAATTTGAGATCTTAATAAATTCAAAAAGATGTAAATTTCGTTATACTTAACCTGTATGAGAAACAAAATCAGTTAGCTATAAATTTGTTATATTGGTGTTCATTATAACCAATTTTGTAAGCAATTGTTGAGATGTTTGCCAGGGATCTCAAAACTTTGCTAAATCTGCAAATTCAGACTTAACAAGTTTACAGTATTCAATGTTTAGTTTAGCACCTCCAAATTGATTATGATTTTAACTTCTACATAAACATTCTTGAAGTTTTTGACAGTTGAGTAATATGTTTATTGTTTCCTTTTTAGAACAGTGATGCTGCATTGAGAGCTCTGCATCAATCCGATGCCCTAGAATGGTAAGATTTTATTGTTGTAGCTCTTTAAAATGACCTTTCTACAAGTAATGAATATCTTGCATTAAAATGATGGGGGAAAAAAATCAATTTTCAAGAGGTCCCTGCCAGAGAATTTTTATTATCACCTCACAACAAAGTTGGAAGGGATGTAGTAAAGTGCTTGTGTGTGTGTGTGTGGGGGGGGGGGGGGGGGGGTAGGAGGGGGTGAATGAGTGTGTGCGTAACTAAGTTATGTAAGTAATAATTTATATCGGGATCAGTGTGCTCTTTTGTGAGGGGATGCTTGGCTTTGCAGTGCCCTTGTAAAATTTTGATTGAGTCTGTAATCTTTTAAATACCTTTGTTTTTTTCTCTATTATTTTCAGCATTGGTCTTACTATCCAGATTTTACTCAAGTTAGATCGAGTTGACCTTGCAAGGTAAATATTTGTACCATATGTCAATAAGTGAATTCTTAGCAAGGCACAAATTTAGCAAATCCAAAAATTGGTATATATTTATAGAAGTAATTTGAGCAATTATATAATGCCATGAAAGATAAGTCATAAGTCCAATGCAGAATGTACTGTTACCAATATTCAATTTTGATAGCGAGATCAACACTCTTGCTAATAATACCAAAATTGAATCCTCACTAAAAATTTTGCTTATATGATATTCCATAATTCCTGATCTACTCCTTAATTTTCTTAGCTCAATACAGCTGATCTTTGTGTAAATTGTCCTGTATGCAAACTGTAATCAGTGTGGGTTTTCATAAATGTCTTCATAATGAAAGAGTTTAAATTTTTTTTGTCTTGAAGAAAGATAAAGTTATTTTGATGATTTGAAATAAAAGTGTGTTTCATTAAAGAATATCCCCCCCCCCCCCCCCCCCCCCCCGTAGGTATAAAAATACCAAAGGTGATCTTCGTGGATAAGTACTTTCTAGTTTGTAAATTCTAACAAATTGCTGTTTATTTGAATTTAAGGAAAGAGCTTAAGAGAATGCAGGAGATTGATGAGGACAACATTCTCACACAACTGGCTCAGGCCTGGTTTAATCTGGCTGTGGTACGTTTTTACATTCTGTTTGTTATTATATTATTACATATACTACTCACATCTGAAATAATCATGCATTATTACATGTATGTAATCATTATGTATGTATGTATGTAATCACACAATTTCGTATGTAATTCTCAGTGTATTAAAATCTATCCAAATGGTTCTTGGTTCCTAGAATTCACATTGTAAATTATGTTTCATGAACTTTCATCCTTTAACAAGAAGCATATGAACATTTCACAGACACACCAGAAATTATTTTTCATATATCTTATAGTGTAGCTAAACAAAGTCTAAAGCATTCATTCATTGTTCCTGGTTATATTAGGCTGAGAGAAAACTTATATAGGGACATTAATCTTATAGTGTTCCAACAAGTTATTAAACATTCATTGATGTGTTAATTGTAAATGTTCCTACCTGTATGTATTATAGGGAGGGGAGAAATATCAGGATGCTTATTACATTTTCCAAGAGATGGCAGACAAACACAATTCTACACCTCTGTTACTGAATGGTCAGGCAGCCTGTTATATTGCACAGGGGAAATTTGATGATGCTGAATCTGTACTGCAAGAGGCCATGGACAAGGTAATATTCAAAGCTTATATATGTAGTAGAATTGTGTAATTATCAATATTCATGAAGAATGTTCAATTCAAACATTGAAATCAATCATTATATACAGTCGGACCTCGTTATCTCAAACTAAATGGGACCAAGAAAATACTTTGAGATATCTGAGGATTCAAGATATCCAGGTTAAAATAATTAAGAAATAAGCACTTGGGACTTCAAAATCACCTCTACATATCCATAGAATTCGAGATATCCATGTTTGAGATACCAAAGTTCAACTGTGTGTGTGTGTATATATAAATTAGTGAATAAATAAATGTAAAATGTTTTATTGTAGGATTCCAATAATGCAGAGACTCTTGTGAACATGATTGTTTTAACACAGCATATCGGAAAACCACCAGAGGTCTGTATAATTTATGGATGTGAGAGGTTTTTTAATTATAGCTTGTTTACTAAAATGGATGAAAATTACATATCAGTATCAATTATAACTATATTAAACTATGTTACACTGTATAAGTGAAAAGACTTGTTTTGTCATCTGAAAAAAAAAGTTCACATGGAGCATACATTGAATAAGTAAATCTCCATTTGAATATCATAATGTTTGTAGATTTCTGGGGTCACCCTTACCCACGAATTTACATTCCCACTGAACAATTATTTTGACAATGTATTAACTCACTGAATCTACTGTGTAAATTTACCCAAGAAATTCGTGTCCCCATGGACCAGTTAAATTTTGCGTAGATGTGAACATTGACCCCCATAAAATAAAATGATTTCACAGTAACTGCATAAATTTGATTGATTTAAATTTGCTAGTCATTTCTTAATTTATATAGTAATATTGTACAGTTTTAATTCATCTGTTTAAATTTCCTGTTTCTTTATTGATAGGTCAGTAATAGATATGTATCACAACTGAAAGACTCTCATCGCAGCCATCCATTTGTCAGGGATTATTTACAAAAGGTCAGCACACACATTAATCAAATTCAAATATTGGGAAACCATTAATATGTAATAGATAATGCTGAATGAAATTTTTAAAGATATCAAGGCAATACTTTAAATGAGTAACCTACTTAAGTCAAATCCTTTTTTAGCGCATTTGTGCCAGAGGCTCAAGTGAGCTTTTCTGATCGAAGTTTTTCTGATGTATGTGCATAACTTTTCATATTTTCATCTTCTCCAAAAACTACAAGGCCTATATATCAACCAAACTTGCCACAAATCATCCTTTGGTGAAAGAGATTTGAAAAGCCATGCTCTCTTTAAAGGGGAGATAATTAAGAATTGGTGAAAATATGGTGACATCTTTTAAAAATTACTGGGTCAGAAAAAAAATGAAACTTGTATGAAAGCTTCCTGACATCATGTATAGTTTAGTTTGTTCAAATCGTGGCCCCTGGGGAACTTTTATGAAAGCTTCATGACATCATATATAATTAAGTTTGTTCAAATCATGGTCACTGGGGATAGGGTAGGGCCACCATAGGGGATCAAAGTTTTACACAGGAAAAATATTCTAAAGAAGAACAGCAGGGTCATGATTTACCATATTTATATGGAAGCATCCTTTAGACTACCTTATGACAGTTGCGTATGAATAATTTTCAGCATGACCCAGCTGTTCCTCATCAGATTTTTAAAAGAATTTTTCCTATATATTTCCATGTAAGACTTTGATTCGCTATTGTTGTTCACACCCCACCCTACCCCTGGGGGTCATAATTTGACTGAATTTAAAATCTATACTACCTAGATTAAAATCATTGCCCATATCAATATGTAAGCATTTCCAAGATCTGTTTATTATTTTTTTTTTCAAACTATGGATCACCGTTCACAGTAGCTCAGTTGATAGAGTGCTCGCTCCATGATGGGGAGGTCGTGAGTTTGAATCTCGGCCGCGACTGACCTAAGTCGATAAAAAGTGGGTAGCAACTGTTCCTTCGCCATGCGCTCGGCACTTTGAAGTAAAAGTTGCAGTTCCTTCAGATGAGACCTTAAAAATCGAGGCCCGTGTCACAGCAGACATTGGCACGATAAAGATCCCTCACTTCTCAATGGCCCTGAGTGCCAAGTAAAGGTCAAAATTTGAAGCCCTTCATCGGTACATGGTGACCTCTCTATATGAGTGAAAAATTCTCAAATGGGATGTAAAAAACAACATTCAATCAATCAATCAAATTATGGATCATGGGGTTAGGGTGGGGGTAAGATCAGAGATCAGATTTTACATAATGCTAGTGTACTGGGGAAAAAAAATCTTAATCTACAGAACAGCAAGGCCATGTTAGTCATATTGATATGAAAGCATTCCAGTGTTGTGTGGATTCAATCTGGTTAAATCATATCCCCTTGAGGCCTAGTAGGAGCCACAAAATGGAGTCAGATTTTTTCATTGGAATAAAGGGGAAAATCTTTAAAAATCTGAAGAAGAACAGCAGGGCCAATGTGACTCAAGTGAGCATTGTGGCCCATGGACCTCTAGTCTAACATAAAATCAAATACATGTTTATAAGTTTTTTCTTTCATTTGTCCATATTTAATAAATTCTATTTGTTTTTCACAGGAGAATGACTTTGACAGAATTTCTAGGAACTACTCTCCTTCCGTAACAGCCTAGCATACAAAGACTATTTTTTCATCGCCCATTTTCTATTAAACAAAAAAAAAAGACTTATGAATGTTTATGAACCTGTAATTAAGAACATATTACAGATAATTTTTTTTAATTATGGAAGATGTATCATTGCATAAATACATGTATTTATTCATCTTTGATATTCTCTTATTCTACTTCTGTTTGTAGTAAGGAATCGGACAGTGGTACAATGATTCATGAACTCCATGAAGTGGAAGATTCTTGGTTAGGATGGAATGTTTTGGTCTTTCCTATTGGTCGTTGATTGTTACATAATGACACACCCATTTCTTTAGAAAGGAGAAAGCAAATTATTGTCGCAATGTTATGGACACCCCATTTTCTGTGACTTGCAACACAAGTTTTGCTGAAAAGGGGATTTTATGGAGCTAGGAAAAAAGAGAGTGAAAAGTCCCACTTCTATAAAACTTATGTATTGCAAGAATATGTACATAATTCATGTATTTATCATGTTTATTTAAGTTATCACAACACATGCATCAATCAAACAAGTGTGTACCCGATGTTTATGGAGATTGTTAACTGATTGGCTTTTGCATTTATGACTGTTTATAGAATACCTCTTCTACAGGTATTCAAGTGAAGCATGTGAGATAATTTTCTCCTTTCTGAAGACTTGGGGTGTCATTTTGTAATGACCAACATTCAAAAGAAAGTTCAAACCATTCCATGCAAACAAAATTTTTTACCACGTCATTGTACTTCTGTAATTATGATGATTCATAGCAAAGTTTAAATAGAGAATTTAATTAAAGAATAATTTCTTTTATTCAGCTGTAATTTGCACTTATTAAGGAAGCTCTAATCAGTGCTCATTGAAGAGTTCAAATTTTGAGGTAGTTAATCAGGTAGAAAAATCTTCCCATAGATGTAAGATAGAATAAATGGAAATCAATAGTGTAAGACACTTGTAATGGATTAGACCAAGATAAAGTATTTGAATACATTATTTACATGTATTTCTCAAATATAAGTAAACAATGGTGATTTCTGTTCACTTATTTGAGTTTTTGCAATTTTAGAATAATAGTTGGCTTTAACAAATTTTCCCCCTTTAAATGCAGATTTTGTAAGGATTTTGGCTTAGAAATCTAGAGTGCAGGCCTGCCCCTAAATAAAATGATGATATTTTGATAGGTCCTGATCAAGGAATAATTTATTAAAAATTTTTTAATTGGTACCTTTGCCCTGTGGTCAAATTTGACAGCCTGTTTTATATTTATACCGCCCTCTCTCATAGATAGTATAACTCAAGTGATGCCTGGCGTCACACTTTTACTGTTAAAATTCTCGCTTTTTTCCACTATTTATTTTTTTTGTGGCGGCTTTTGTATGGAATCTGGATGGCCATGTAGTTCACTATCGCGCATTAACTTCTGGGGATATGGTGCGATGACGATGACACGATGGTGCGATGACGATGGAGCAAAGGCACATTGGAGCTTTAGTGAGCATTGATTCATCATCATCGCCATCGCAAACTGTTATTGCACCATTGTGTTATCGTCATTGTATCAACGCATCGTCGTGCCATCGCACCATCGTCCATTGCATTATCGAACTAACTATAGCTTCATTGTGATTGTCATCGTATTATTATCGACCCCGATGGAGCGATTGTGAACAATGTGACCCAATCTGTATTCCACACTTACGTATTTTTCTTCAATTATCTATCTTTAATGTATGCAAATCGTAAAATTCTCTGTAATTGAAACGCAACCATCTCGGTATTAATTTTTCAATGTCAGTTTTTCCCCTTCTTCATAATGCTTTAATATGTAATTATTGAGGATTTTTAACTTTCAACATAATCTGAATGTCACTTATTAAGGAACATGTAACTGAAAAAAGTGAAGTTAAAGAATTTTCATTCAATAAAAATTAGAATGACTCGATAAATCTTGTCCATTTGCGCATATTACCAGCCTAAGATTTACAAGCGTGATCCACTTTTTGACTTTCCAGCATTAACAAGTGCTCTCCTGATGAAAACTTTGACACGTGATAAGCTGAAGGCAGAAAGGATGAGAGGAAAATAAAGATCCATTAGTTCCTCTGATAAGGATCTTCCACAAGTCTGTTGATTTTTCACAAAAAGACAAATCTTTCTTTTTAAGTGACAACTTGCGATAAAGCTCCTTTTCCAAGAGTACAAGTTTAAGACAATCTTAAGTGCAAAAAGCTGGCGTTACTGTCACCAAAGACATAAATAAAAATGACTGTTATTTGTGTCTCAGCGTTCATGTGTTTTTGTTCACAAAAGAATGCTTTCATGAAGCTGATTTTAGATTTATCTAATTAAAACTTAAGATAGACTAAGATTTTTTGTGAAAAGGTCAATTGATGTGTAAAGTTTGACATATATGTTGTTTTTTCCCCCTAACGTTTACGGAAGTCAAATGTGTTCTTGTTTCATTTTTTTTTACTATAAATGTTTTCAAAATTTAAAAAATATGAAGTAATGTAATTTAAAACCCCAAAATATGAAAAATAAACAAAATCAACATTGAAATATACATATTTTCAGCAAATGATCAGAAAAGCAAAAGTCTGTAGAATATTCATAACACTCCTACAGTCTTATTCGTTATGTCGTGATTTGGATTATCCTGTTTATTCCTTTTTGACGAATCGACTTATTTATTTCTATTGATGGATTATCGTGAAAGAAGATCTACTGCAGACTTCCAGAGGCTTTGCTTAGTTCCAGCTGTTGACATGGTCTTTTCAATATGATACTATGAGTTCCCGTCTTTAAATTAGTTTCATTGGTCGTAACGACAACCATATTTTCTTATTATCTCTTGACCGGGGGAGACTCATTGTCTGATTCAGTTGGGTTATTTGTTAATACACTGTGATTTTCTGTAGATAGAAAAATCATTATCTTGTACAATACCAGGTAGAACCTTCAGCTACGATGTCTGATAATATATAACGTACCTGCTGCTGCGAAAACGGCGGAACTAAACCCTCGATCATTGAACTGATTTCGTCAACTTTCTTGGAGTCTCCCTGTTTTTTTTCTAATACTGCGATTGAAAGTGTTTCAAATCATTACAGAAGGCACTTACTTTTTCCTTAAGTTGCATATGTTAAGTTTTTTGTTCTGTCGTTGAATGATTTTTTTTTAAAATGTCCTAAAATGAATATTATAAACAACAGGTATGTGAGTAAAGTATTTAAAAACTGCAGACATATGAAAAAAAATCTTAGACGGTGCTTGAATATGTACTAATATGTAGCAGGATAATGGAAAGAAAATTATTTTGAATGTTATCTGAATTATTACCCATGTTTCCTTTGGCATGCCACCAGTTTTAAGGGAAATTTACAGACTATCTGGGGCTGAACTATCAACAACTCTAAATTTTTATATTTGCCCTTTTTCAATATTTATAATGTTTCAATGTTTATGATTATATTTTTAGCTCTACTGGTCAGAGACCAGAAGAGCTTATGCGATAGTAAGGTGTCCGTCCGTCCGTCTGTCTGTCTGTCTGTCCGTCTGTCTGTAAACAATTTTTCAAAACGCTACTCCTCCTACAGTTTTGGTCCGATTTCAATATAACTTGGCACACAAGTAGACTACACTAAGATACATAATTTAGTGCATCGGTTTTTGATTTCGATGGACGGTGTTGCCATGGTTACTAAAAATAGAAATTTCTGTGAAATTCCTTTAAAACGCTACTCCTCCTACAGTTTTGGTTCGATTTCAATATAACTTGGCACACAAGTAGACTACACTAAGATACATAATTTGGTGCATCGGTTTTTGATTTCGATGGACGGTGTTGCCATGGTTACTAAAAATAGAAATTTCTGTGAAATTCCTTTAAAACGCTACTCCTCCTACAGTTTTGGTCCGATTTCAATATAACTTGGCACACAAGTACACTACACTAGGATACATAATTTAGTGCATCGGTTTTTGATTTCGATGGACGGTGTTGCCATGGTTACTAAAAATAGAAATTTCTGTGAAATTCCTTTAAAACGCTACTCCTCCTACAGTTTTGGTCCGATTTCAATATAACTTGGCACACAAGTAGACTACACTAAGATACATAATTTAGAGCATCGGTTTTTGATTTCGATGGACGGTGTTGCCATGGTTACTAAAAATAGAAATTTCTGTGAAATTCCTTTAAAACGCTACTCCTCCTACAGTTTTGGTCCGATTTCAATATAACTTGGTACACAAGTAGACTACACTAAGATACATAATTTAGTGCATCGGTTTTTGATTTCAATGGACGGTGTTGCCATGGTTACTAAAAATAGAAATTTCTGTGAAATTCCTTTAAAACGCTACTCCTCCTACAGTTTTGGTCCGATTTCAATATAACTTGGCACACAAGTAGACTACACTAAGATACATAATTTAGTGCATCGGTTTTTGATTTCGATGGACGGTGTTGCCATGGTTACTAAAAATAGAAATTTCTGTGAAATTCCTTTAAAACGCTACTCCTCCTACAGTTTTGGTCCGATTTCAATATAACTTGGCACACAAGTAGACTACACTAAGATACATAATTTAGTGCATCGGTTTTTGATTTCGATGGACGGTGTTGCCATGGTTACTAAAAATAGAAATTTCTGTGAAATTCCTTTAAAACGCTACTCCTCCTACAGTTTTGGTCCGATTTCAATATAACTTGGCACACAAGTACACTACACTAAGATACATAATTTAGTGCATCGGTTTTTTTGATTTCGATGGACGGTGTTGCCATGGTTACTAAAAATAGAAATTTCTGTGAAATTCCTTTAAAACGCTACTCCTCCTACAGTTTTGGTCCGATTTCAATATAACTTGGCACACAAGTAGACTACACTAAGATACATAATTTAGAGCATCGGTTTTTGATTTCGATGGACGGTGTTGCCATGGTTACTAAAAATAGAAATTTCTGTGAAATTCCTTTAAAACGCTACTCCTCCTACAGTTTTGGTCCGATTTCAATATAACTTGGCACACAAGTACACTACACTAAGATACATAATTTAGTGCATCGGTTTTTGATTTCGATGGACGGTGTTGCCATGGTTACTAAAAATAGAAATTTCTGTGAAATTCCTTTAAAACGCTACTCCTCCTACAGTTTTG